GATTTGTTGACTGATAATTGTTTAACTAGAACTTTAATACAGTGGGTGAAATAAAACAAAAGTAAATGTAAATGACACTGTTCGATATTGATAACATAGTCCAGCCGTCTTCAAACTTTTACGACTTGCGAAATCCCACCAACGCGCAACGGGACCTAAAAAAAATTTTCAAATACATTTTTCTGACAGCACAAACAATGATTAAGGTTAAAATGTTTAAGCTGAAACCACATTACTCGTACCAATTCATGCGTAGACGCGTATTCTGTTACACCAATAGAAAAGCCCACCTGCCACTTTCTAGCGGTTGATCGGACTAATGCCGACGCAGGTTTTGATTGATGAGTAAGTAGCTTCACATGGATATTTAATTGTGGATCCTGTTAAGGCGACGTATTTACGAACATGCGCATTGTGCACCGGACATTTAAACTGGCCCTTTAAATGGGAAGTGCACGTCATCTCTCTTTAATTTTCGGTTCTTTGTCTTACTGGCACATCTGTATCTAATCTGTGTCTGTAGTGTATTGTGAATAGGTGATGGTGATAATATCCTGCATTGCTAGTTGCGTATTGCTTATTGCCTGTTGCTTGCTGCTTGCGTGCGATGCCGCTAATACAATAAATAATTATTATCGACAACGACCTTCCTACGATATTATCTAGTATTATCTACATATAAAGCACATTACCTCTGTTAAGTAAATAATATTTACTCTCCAATTACATACGGTTTGTTGTTCGTAACCTGCTAGCTCATTTTATAACTTCCATCGTGCCCGAACTCAAAGTGAATAATGGCTCCAAAGTTATACATGACGATACTCAGTCCACCAGTAAGGGCAGTTTTGATGTGTGCAAGGGCTATAGATTTAGAACTTGAGCCCGTAGAAGTGGATTTGTTGAAGGGTGATCATCTTAAGCCAGAATTTGTTAAGGTAAACGTATTTATAATACAGAAATATTTAATTGACGCCGAAATCGATTGGTTTTATAGGGTTTTCGCAACATATGAAACAAATCTTTACGAATAAAAATGTAACTAATAGCGTCATTAAAATATATATATTACTTTCATAAAAAAAACGATGGTTTAACGAGGTTTAAAATATACAATAATGCAGTTTTAAATTAGAAATACAGCTGCTGATTTTATACTTTACAATGTAATATTACATTATGCCAATTCATGAGATAAACACCTTATCTATTTATAACTTTTGATAGTGTGAACAGGATGCGCTGGACGTCACCAATGATGACGGGAGTAAACAATTTTTGAATTGAAATATCACAATGATTCTGCTTTATTAAAATAATTACTTTTATTTTGAGAAATTAAGTTTATCAGGAGCAGCAAATATTTTCTGTGTAGGTAAGTGTTGTTGTTGTATAAAATTTCGAAAAATATTATTAAAAAAACTTAGGGTAGAGGGGGGCAGGTTCGGACACGGGGCACCTCCGGACATTTCATATTTCGCGCCTCCCGGTTTCTCTAGATATATGTAATTGCACAATTTGGTAGCAGTGGTGCCTTGAACGACACATTTCCAATCGGCCGATTTTTTAAAGTAATTTGTTTTTATTTTCAAGTACCATCAAAGTAAGTATTTCACACATTATTCCCAATGTGATCAAGTATTTGGGGTCACCATTGTTTATTTTTCAATAGATGCATGTGAAAAAGTAAACATTTGTGCACTACATAACCTATATTTTAACCGACAGAGACATTCGGAAATATCGGTTGAATTGTTGAAAATATAATCTTGACTGAAGGGGTAGATTCGGACACTTTGGTCGGGGCACATTCGGACTGTCCGGAACTGCCCCAAGTATAATCAGAAATTAACCGCCTATTGTTTTTTTTTTCAAAAGGACTCAGCGTTTCCTTTTTGCATCGTGACAGCATTTTATTACAGAATGGTTAGAACCTATGTAAGGAAAAAGCAGGTACCAGACGCGCCCGAAGAGACAATAAGGACTGCTGTTAAGGATGTTTTGTCTAAAACTATGTCATTACTGCAGGCCGCTGCTCGATTCGGCATTAAAAAATCCACGCTCTACGATAGAGTAGTGAAAGCTCGAAATATGGACGATAATTCCGATTCCGAGACCGAAATGAATGATAAATCCGGATTATCCAAATATGCGACCCACCAAGTGTTTTCGTCAATCGAGGAGCTTGAACTTGAAAAATATCTTAAGCAGTCGTCCCAAATTTTGCATGGGTTAACTTATGTTGCTACTCGTAAATTGGCATATGAATATGCAGTGAAACTAAACAAAAAATTTCCTGAAAAGTGGCATGAGAATCGACAGGCAGGCATCGAATGGATGAAATGTTTTATGAAACGGCACCCGAGACTCTCTCTTAGGAAACCTGAAAACACGAGCTTTGGCAGAGCATCCGCTTTCAATAAGCACAATGTGGACACCTTTTTCAATAACTACGCTGATGTCCACGAAAAATATAAATTTCACCCAAGTCGTATTTGGAATACTGATGAGACTGGCATTTCCACTGTGTTACAAGCTCCAAAATCAGTTGTACATTTCCGACATTGGAATTAAATTAAATAAATTTTCAGTCATATTACTTAATTCCGTTTCCATAGGGCCCTCACCTATAGGTACAACACTAGTTCTAAGAGATTGACCGTTTAATTTGATGTTTTTGGGTAAATAATTGTTACCGTTAATTCACTATCCGATTAAAACGATGTTTTAGCATTATTCTAGTTATTTTACTCCCCATATTTGAATGTCCGGAAGTACCCCAGGCATGTCTGCAACCCCACGTGGGGTACATTCGGACAAATGACAATTTATTTATGTTTGTATTTTTCAATGGAAACTCGGTTATAATCAACCAATACAGCTTCACAGACAGTCCACAAGATGTCACTCTATGTACTGACATGCTTATTATTCCCAACACTCCACAACTTTGGATTGTACAGCGCATTAGCCAAAAGTGTCCGAACCTGCCCCCCTCTACCCTATTCACGATTAATATTTACGTCGACATACACTGTATAAAAGTTTCACTCAATTTTACTAAATTCTGTTCACACTCGATTGAGTGAAATTTTCACTCTATTAGTATGAGTAGAGGTGTTTCAATATCTCATGAGCCGCAAAATGCGCGAATGGCGTGGCGTATCCGCATAATTCTTCTAATAAGCACGTTGTGAAAACATTGACTTAGAACTAGACCATGTGCTTCATTACAAGTAGAAATGAACTAAGGCGCTCGGGCATCAATAAAGTCACCTGGCGAACGTTCGTTATATATATTTTTATTGTTTAAATTAAAATAATAAAGAATAGGGCATTTTATTATGATATTTGTAATCGGATCAAAGGCTTGTTTACGCTACGAGAGCTCGAGGGAGACTGTAAATAATAGGTGTAATGTTTTTAGGACGTAGAATAATTTAGGCGACGGTCGGAATTATGTTTCTGCGCATATGAAGCTCAAAGCTCATAAGATTTGAACAGAGCTGAACATTTTACTAAGGTCATTTTATGCAAAACGTGTTCTTTTTAGCTGTAGCTTCACAGGTACCATTTGTGCTACTTCTTTTGAAAACACCCTGTATATACTACCATCGCCTTTAGATTGTGCCAAGTAAATTATTTTGTGTTGCAGATAAATCCGTTGCACACGGTGCCAGTCCTGGACGACGATGGCTTCATTGTGCAAGACAGCCACGCCATTATGAGTTATCTGATAGGAAAATATGCCAAAGACAAATCCCTATATCCTACTGATGTGCAAAAGCGTGCCCTTATCGATCAAAGACTTTACTTTGATAGTGGAATTTTATTTGTCAGGCATCTCCGTGTAGCGGTAAGAAATTGCCATTTTTCTACAACCGAGCTAAATTTACAAATTTGCGCTTCCAAAAGAAAGCACAAAGTTGCTCATTTCCGAGGAGCGAGTGTTTTTTTACTTTGTCGCTTGGCGAGCGATAAAGTAACCAAAACGCTCGTTTAGTTACCATGGAAACCATAATAAAGAATCGTCTAGTGTTTCTACGCCTTTTGACACAAAAGTAAGCGTTGAGGGGTATTTGACAGATGTCGACAATTTTATGATCAGCGCGTGATTTTACGATCGTTCTAGTAAAATAAAAATGTCTTCCCATAATAGGCATGACAGATTTTGAAAAACTGTTCTATGATGTTTGGAAGTATTTACTATTTCCAAAAAATATCTTATTTCTGTAGAAAATAAAAGGTTTAGTAGAAAAATATTGATATTTTAATTTTAAGCCTCATCTCTCGCAAAAACGGTCGCTAGTGTCATGACGTCTACGTGACGTCACATCTATGTTTGTCAACAGTAAACATAAGGTGCTAATATTTTGTGTTGCAAGATTCATTAGTTAAATAAAAATACAAAGTTACCATAATAGTATATGCACTTTATTTACCCTCAAATTGTACTTTGGTATAATAATGGATACACATTATCTTTCCATGAAGAAAATCTGATACATAGTTGTTATCAAATGTAACATTATTTCTACTTTTTTATTTATACTGTAGTTGCAATCAGCTATACCGAGATAGCCCTTTTGATGCCATGTTAAATACATTTGTAGCTGTCATCTGCACATAAAACTTCTGGGTCGGTTTTCCTTTTTCCACATAATTTTTAAAAGTCGTGGTACATTTAATTTCAATAATACTGCCTTCACAGATTCCATCAGGCGACCCTGCTATCGTGGGATAGTTTTTTCAAAGCATTATACCACATTTTTTTATTTTTCCCCAAACTGGTACTTACAGTTTTCCTCACCTCATCGTCCAACATTCTATGGCGTTTCATGGCCCATGCGACTGAGATTTTTCCTCCCATTATTAATGCGATGCAGTGGATGGTTTTGCACCGATTAAATTCAAACGCTCGTGAGGCCGTCACTCTGCCATATCTTAACTCATGCCAAAAACGGCTTTGATGTTGGTCTCGTCTCTTCTTCAACTTTCATGTCATCTTCATCAGTCAATACGAGTTTTTTCAAAAATGTGTCGCAGGACTGTTCTTTGTATTTCAGCATCAATTTATCCATGGATAAACTTTTGATCACAAACATTAGGCTTTTTTTCGCGAGTGAAGTCGTATATTGTAGTATGTGTAGTATGAGTGAATATTACGTTTTTGCGAGAATAGTCAGTCATTTAAACTACTATGTGATGTCACAAGTTTAGATCAAATGACTGAACTCTTCACCCTTCAGCTGAGTATTATGTTAACTTAACCTTTTTCTTTTTGACATTTTGTTAGAACGAGAATAAAAATCGTTCAGCAAAATGATGGATTCTGATACGGCTGTGGAAGTGGTCAGTTTAAATTTAAACTTTAGAGGCACAGATGTTTTAGTAAACGTAGACGTTGAAACAGCAAATATTTTACTTAATGGTAAGATTAATTTTTTATATGGGACATATTTGCGATCCACTTTGCTTCAGGATTATCCTCTTTTTTTTTGTGACCTAGGCCAGAGATAATATTGGTGGAATCATTTGTAATTCAGGTCTTTTTCGTATGAATTAGATAAAAAACCTACCTAACCTCTTTCTAGTTTAATTTTTTTTAATAAAAAATTTAAAATCATATATGGGGAGCCTTGAAGCAAAATTTGATGTTTCTAGGCACTATTTTAAGCACCTACTTTCAAATCTTTGTAGATCCCGAAGAATTGGAAAAATATTTCCAAAAGATAATAACCTTGGGTCAATAACTGAAAATAATAATATTAATAAATACGTTTTTTATAATCCATGAATCGTATTTCATTAGATAAATACATAACTTTAGTGATTCTTGGTTACTATCATCATGCCATAGATGTCTCTCAGTTACTCTTAATCGTCAATTACCTTTAATATTGTAAATAATAAGAAAAATGATAGTTCATATAGTGTTATTAAAAAAAACCCATAACCTTCATTAATGTTATTCGTATTATTTAAAAGCCACGGTAAATTGCTACAGTAGTTCACATAACAGAACTTTATTGGCTTATCAGAAAAAATTGTACGGACTTTACAGATATTTATTTGTTATAAAACTGAATTGGTATTAAGTTTACCAGTACTAATAAATGTTTAATACAATTCCCTTTTAAGGGACACTAACTTTGGAGACACTGTTAGTTTATAAATAAAAAAAAAATATTAACAAACTTTGGTTACAGTTGTGAACGGAAAAGGTTAACAAAGTAGGTTTTGCTAACTAAAAGTAAATCGAAACATATAATTTTTTCATAAAAAAAGGAACCAGTGCCAATCAAGTTCCAAATTTTCAAGTCTATCAGTATCTTCAGTGGTTCTAGAATGAATCAAAACTGTATTTACGTCTTACGTCTAGGAAAAACCACTTGTAGTTTTTTTGCTTGTTCGGAGAAGAATCAGTCCCAAAAGTTGGTCGCAGGATCACTGTTACACCCTGTATACCTACACATTGGACATTTATTAGTTTTAGAAACCTTTTCGGCCTACGTATTACTTTTATTAATTTTATTTTTAGCTGCACGTTCTGGGTGGACAAAAGACAATTCCAGAAGAATATTCATCAGCTGTGCAGGAGGCATTTGGATTTCTTGACACTTTTCTTAAAGACAGCAAGTACGTAGCAGGAGAAAATTTATCAATCGCCGATTTAAGTATAATCAACACGGTTTCAAATGTTAGAGCACTAGTGCCCTTGGATGAAACAAAGTACCCTAACATCGCCTCATGGAAGAAAACTTTGGAAACTTTGCCTTACTATGAAATAAACACAGAGGGAAGTACTTTGTTTAAAACTATATTTCAAAATATGTTATCTACGTGATTCTTTTATCACATCGTGTTTCCCGAAACTGTTGAAATAAAATAACAAAGAAGCATGTTTATAACTCAATTATGCCTTACATTTCCATCACTGTGCAAGATAAAAACTATTCTGTATCTATCAGTAGTTCCTAGTTCATAGAATTGGTCTTCAACAACCAGATGCAATCGCATTTGATCCGAAACATGAATTTTGAACCCTTTGTAAGCATTATAGAGGGCGTTTGGAAAAATTTGTACAAAATTCAAGGAGGTGAATGTAGAAGTGTAGAGCCAAAAATAGTAAAAAAAAGCTCCTATAAACTTTAGTCCTCCGGAGCACCGTTACTGAAATATGGCCCTTCAAAGGAGTCTTATCATTTGGATATTTTTTATAATAACTTTCTGATTAAGATAATGGAATGAAAATTGTAAATAATAATCATACCATAAAAGTCTTTTAGTACAGTCATTGAAGCTTTTCACCTCCGAATTCTTTGAAACCGAACCGATCGACTTGAAATTTGACAGAGAACATTAGTGACATAGCAAAGATTAACGCTTCCACACTGTTGGGGGTTTACACCCCTTCTCGGGGGGGTGGACATTTTTCTTGGAAATCGGTAGAGAATCAAATTTTGAGCAAAAAATATTCGAAGAATTTTTTCGAGAAATAAGTAGTTTTTTAGTTATTCACGATTGAAACTTGGAATTTTGAGTAAAAAACACTTTTGCAAAGTATTTTTCGCGAATAACTCAAAAAATACGCATTTTATGAAAAAAAGTGTAATGAACAAAAATGTAGCTTATAAATAAACAAAGAAAATCGTTTTTTAAAAACTATTGTACGTCCCATACAAAGCGAAATATGGTTAGTAGAAAGGGACTTGTTTTGGGGGAATACTCGAATCGATGTATTCAACGTCAAATAACGCTTCTGGAGTTTTTTGTGGTACTCAAAAAGACCTTCAAAATGAGCACTTATAAAAGTTAATTAGAACAAAATTGAAGGAGTGAAAAACAGATGGGTTGCTCTTATTTTTTAAGGAAAAATGAGCAGTAAACGTTGTACCATTTCCATCAGAATTAAAATTAATCGTAGACCTTTTACAATTAGTTTTGTTTTAGTGTTTTTCATACGATCCTGAAGTTAGACCGGTTTAGAATGCGTATTTTTTGAATAATATACGGTAAAATTTTAAAACGTATTTTTCATTATTCAAAAAAAAATGCCTTATTTATATAATAACTTTGAAACTATGAAAGATATGCAAAAAATGATAGACAACAAAAATGTAGCTTTTTTTTCAACAAATATTTTGCTTTTTTTATTCCTATAGCATAAAAAATAAAGGAGATATCGCCGCTTGAAGTATCCATTTTAGTGAAGAAACGACCTATCTCGAGCCCTTCGATCCTTTCCCTTTTAAAAAACGAAGGACTTTAAAGGTTTTATATGCAAACGATCTTACAGCTCTTGAAATTATCTTTAAAATGCTTTTTTGTAGGATACTATAGCTTCAAAATTAACCGAGTTATGGTAAAAAAAACAATGACATTTTTAAATTATTGCACAATTATAGCATTTCAAGATTTAAAACGTAATTTTTTATCATTTTTTTAGCACAGGGGTAATTTATAAGGGTTGAAAAGTGTTATGAGTTACAAATTCTTTCATAAGCAATGAGGGAATTTTTATTTTAAATAATTGCACCGTTAAAGCATTCCAAACTTTTAAACAGTAATTTTTTATCATTTTTGTCAATACAGGGGTGGTTTTTGGGGGTTGAAAGGGAAAAATTCATTTATTAGCTATAAGGTAAGTTTTATTTTAAATAATTACACGATTTAATCATATCATTCCAAATCTTTAAAAAGTAATTTTTTATCATTATTTTTTGCATAGGAGTAGTATTTAAGGGTTAAATAAAGGGTCGAAAAGATCAAAAATACCATAAAACATGTTCGAGAACACGGAACATTATTTAATCTTTGTGCTTGAACAAGATTTTTATCAATAAAATGCTTAAAACTTTTTCAATTTTTTTCACTTAGGGGTTGTTTTTACCCCTAAAAAACAAATAGCGTCAATCGGGCTTATGTCACCTTTGAACTTGAGCCTAAGATGAGCCTTATATTTTAAGTATTCATGCAAATCCATGCAGTTACAAAGAATTCGAAAGTTACAGCTGATTTTCAGCTTCAATAACTGTACTATTTAAGTATCATAAGTTTCATCAAAATCGGTTATAAATAAGGATAGCTTTCTAACTACCCTTAACAGAAAATTTTCGATTTTTTTCTATTCCTTTGAATTAATTATTATCAAGCAAATAATAATATTTTTTAATGAATTGGACTTTTTTGAAGAAAAAATGTGTACTTTTTTCAAATTCTGCGTAGTTTGGTAAGAAATAATTATTTTTTAAATAATGTATGGCTCAGAACATTAACTTTTTTTTAACATTTTCGCATAGTAGACATTTTTCATGGTGACAGTTTCGTTGTAATGATACTAATGATTACCACTTCCGCGTGCTATCGTTTAAATTCTTACGTTTCTTTATCTTTTTAGTTGTGATCTTTGTGCTTGACTTTGCATATCATTCGATTTTTTTACAACCAAGAACCGTCATGAGCAGACGCTCTTTTTACACTCGCAGCAGGATTACGTTAAAACATTCCTAAAATTACTTCATCCAAATAATGTCTACGCCTCCTTGGACGGCCAAATTCACAATATCTTGGAGTTAGGGCTCCTGATTCCATCGTTCTTGCATGAATTTTCCCAAACAATCCTGAAGAAGGTTGCCTTCTATCAGGGAAACGTTGACGATACTCTTTTTGAGCCGCCAGACTATTTCCATTACAGAAACCATAAATAAAATGCATATCGGCATATTCACGGTTAGTAAAATCAGGGAACACTATACCAACGCGAAGTCACGAGAAGAAATTGTGGTCACGCTAGAGTCGACCGATTTGAAGAAAACACAATCGTTTACACTGAGAGAAGTTATACTTTTGAATAGATGTACACTGAAAACAAAAATAAAAATTATCCGAAAGATATTCTCTGTACGTATGCAATACCATATTACAAGAAAACATTACTTTAAAAATCAGAATACTTTTTTCTGATGTTTACAGGTAGGTACTTAAAATAATAATAATTACCTTTCGTTATCCTTAGGGAATCTAAAAAGGGTTAATCCTTCACCAGTTTTGGATGAACAACAGCGAAAAGCACAATAGTAACCAAACGTTCTACTGATTTCAAGTTGATTCTAAATGAAAACGAAATACAATTACTCGTTTTTTAATTTATATTTAGCAGTTCTGACAGCTACTGACAACTGACAGCAACACAACCCAGTTCGCGCATGCGCGTACGAAAACTATCAACGCAGAAAGTCTTGCTGTCGCTTCTCGTTGGTACAGTGTTCTCTGGTAAATGCACGATGATTCATGGTTGTAAAAAATCTAATGAAATGCAAAGTCAAGCACAAAGATCACAACTAAGAAACGTAAGAATTTAAATAATAGCACGCGAAAGTGACAATCATTAGTATCTTTACAACGAAACTGTCGCCATGAAAGATGCCTACTATGTGAAAATGTTAAAAAAAAGTTGCTGTTCTGAGCCATACATTATTTAAAAAATAATTATTTCTGAGTAAATCACGCAGAATTCGGAGCCATTTTTTCTTCAAAAAAGTCTAATTCATTAAAAAATATTATTAGCTTGATAATTTAAAGGAATAAAAAAAATCGAAAATTTTTTTTATGGTATGATTATTAACTACAATTTCCATTCCATTATCTTAATAAAAGAGAAAGTTATTTAAAAAAATATCCAAAGGATAAGACCCCTTTGGAGGGCTATATCTCAGTAACGGTGTTCCGGAGGACCAATGTTTATAGGAACTTTTTTACTATTTTTGGCTCGACTTTCACCTCCTTATTTTGTACCAACTTTTCCAAACACTGCTGGAAACTGTTTTGGATTGCTGTAAGAACAAAGCTAATGTGATTGGTTATCTAAAGATCTATGCCGAATGTCACCAAGTTCCTTTTGGAATTTTTTTTCTACTAATGAACGTTTGTCTATGGAAAACTTTTTGCTTAAACGACATTTTCTATCTTCTATTTCAATCTGGCTTAGGAATGTCAGTCGTCCTTGTTTCAAAGAAGGGTTCTTTATTTTAGTATATTGTTCCTCGTATTTTACTAGGCGTCAATGGAGGATAATGGTCATTTAAAATCGAAACGATTTCTGGTACCTTTAGAAACATTTAATTTAAAATAAATTAATAAAAACATAAAAAGTATCTTTTATATTTCTTATACTTACTTACTAGTTTAAGTATATTGTACCTCATAAATCTATTAAACGCATGTGGTGTCTGTTAACTTTGACGATTGTATTTGTTTTGGATATTTTTTAGATTAATTCCATATACATATATCCCAAGTTAAAAATATTTTGGAAAATTCAGATTTATTTTATAAAGTTAGCAGTGTGGACACTTTAACATTTTCTTGACATTTCTTTAGCCTTTTGGCAAGTCCTGGCCAGACTAAAATTATCGACTAAATAACTTACTAAGTCTATAACAAAAATTGTATAAATAACTAAAATTGACAGTTAAAAAGATTTCTTTGGTAGTATGTGGTCTTTTTTCAAAATTAATTTAGGAAAAAAATCTTATGCGATTGAATTTGTGCTCCAACTCCTGGTAACTAGAGGCTTTCCAAGTCGCTTGCCTATAGTTTGGACGTGGTATCCAATACTAATGAGGGCTTCATGATCCAGCATCTTCCTGCCATCAAAAATATATGCTGGCTTCATCATACGTTCATAAATTTTCTTATAATCTAGCGTCTGAAATTCAAATATTATTTTGAAAAATATGAAGAAATGACAAGATTGAATCAATTAATTTTTTCACACTTAAAAAATACTGCTACTTTTTTGTAACAATCTGACAGAAAATGAAATCGGATCAAAGATAACCTACCGTGAATTCACTCCATTCGGTACAAACAACAACTGCATGGCATCCTTCTGATGCTGTATAAGCATCCTTACAGACCAAGACGTTTTTCCGAATTTCTTCCGGTGATTCGCAAATCGTTGGATGAGTCAAGTCCTCGAATATTCTGATTTCTTCAACCTAAAAAGTACTTGTAAATTGTTACCCGTCTTATGATAAATTATCTTCTTAATATATTAATCTTACAAGTACACAAAAAAGTGGTATGTTTTGCGGATTGGATCCAAGTACTTGGATAACCGAAACCGATTCTGCCTTGGAAATGCTCCATCACCCTTAATTTTCTATTTATTGCTAAAAAACGATACTTCAACATAAAAGGCAGCAAAAACTTAGCTCTGGAAAATATTCATTGATCTCACTGCATATTTTTAGTGGCTTAACAGAAAGAACAACAGAGTTCACCCGAAGCTGAAGAGTACCAAGAATAAGTCTTTGAATATCCAAAATATGCCATAGGCACCACGATTATGATGCGTCGACTCGTTTCCAAGGCTGTATCCAAGAAGGAGCCCACTGAATGCAGATAATTGGCTGCTTTTTGGCAAATAAGAACAAATTGAAGGATGATGAAACACTTCTCGTGGCAGATTCAGTTTTTGGAGATACCTAAGATGGCATGCACTGTAATAAATAGTATGGCAAAATTCCTCCAACTTTCCTGGTAACCTGTTACCTGTTGCTGTTCGAGTAAAATCCATGTAACATTTATGTAATATTAAAATATATACCGACATTAATTTTACTTGAACATTTCATGGAAATTTTCCCATACTTTTTATTGCAATGTGGGTCCCATCCCTCTTTTTGTGCTATTTTAACTAAAAATCTAACTAATAAAGAAATAATCTTTGTACAGGGTGGTTGATTTTCGATAGTTTTATAGGGTACAGCCAAAACGGTGATAGATACAAAGAATCTGATATCGATGTCCCGTCCTCTTTTTTGAGTTTACTTCGCTGGTACCAAAAGGTCTTGGCTAACTTGATTGGTTTTAGATATACAGGATTTTTTTGAAAAATGGCCCATTTACATTAACCTCTCTATCTCCGTTGTCATTCAATTTAGAAGAAAAAAGTGTGGACATTATTATTTGTTCTATTTTTTATTAGGAAGTCATTGGCGTACTCAGATTTTTTACAAATCGCACAGTTTTTCCGATATTACATAAACATAGGTTTTTTAAATAGAACACCCTGTATTTGGCCATCCCGTTAAATAGCATTTTTTTACATTTTCAGCCGTATATACTAATAGATACTTTTTATTTGCCTAAATGAAGAAAAATATAAAAAATATATAGACATTTTTTCAGTTGCCCATGAGATTTATTTAGTATTGGTCTCTTCGCTTTCTATTATCATTTTTATATTAAGCACATAACTTAGACTAAAAAATTAATATAAAAAATAAATTAGATTATCCATTTATCTTTACTTAATAGGTTTAATTATAGGTACACCTTATAACTATTATCTAAACATAAACTAAACAAAAATAACAACTATAAAATGAGAGAAACAACAATAAAACAAAAATGACATAACAAAGTCACAGCAAGTGCTCGAATTGTCGGCCATTTGCGTTGATACATAATTGACAATGGAGCGGGTTGCATTGTAAATGTGGATATTTGACACCCGCTGAATATAGTTTTCAAAATGTTCCCTTAGCTCCTCGACATTATTAGCTCTATACTTATAAATTTTGTCTTTAACAAATTCTATAGGGGTTAGGTCTGGTGACCTAGGCGGCCACCTGTTTGGTCCGTACGTACCGATCCAATTGTCCCCGAAATTATGATTTAATAATTCTCTAACTATGTGGGAATTATGTGGAGGTGCACCATCATGCTGAAAAAACATATTATATTGTTGAGCTTAGTTCGTCCAGCAATTCAATAATATTTTCTTGTAAAATTCTCACATATCTCTGAGCGTTAAGGTTTTCATCGTACATTTCGTAAGCTAACACTCTATTGTGGAAGAGAGCTACCCATACATGAAAACCAAACCGCCCTTGTTGAATTTTGGCCACAGTTTGGTGAGGATTCACATCTGACCAATAACTCGCATTATGCCGGTTGAATATACCTTCGCTGCTTATAATAGCCTCGTCGGTCCAAATAACATTTTGAAAAAAATTGGGGTATACGTATATGAGTTTGCTGCAAAAACCATAGGCAGAAAATGACGCGTCTCTTTTCATCTCCTGAATGCAAATGGTGGACTTTTCTTATAGTATATGGTCGAAAATTGTGTTTTTTTTCTCAATGCTTTGAATTTACGAATTCCTATCGTTCTTTGAATTTATCTGCTGGATACAATGAGATTTGCGACAACAAAAGCTAAAGTATTGATTTCATCATTTTCTCTATTCTGTATATTATAAGATTTAGCTCTCGGTTTTTGAAAAGAACGAAACTCACACAAGTTATCATAGAGTCGGCTAAAAATTCTCTTTTCTGGCTGATGACGCTCTGGGTATCTCTCCAAATATAAGTTTAAAGCTGTCACTATTTTTTTCACTTTCAATGTAACACTCCAACATTTGAACTTTGTGAAGATTTTCGTACACCATTTTTATACTTTTCAAAATTAAAACCAAGTAATAGACGTTTAACAAGCTTTCAATCAGTCAAAAATAAACTAACTGTCAATATTAAACAACAAAAGACGAATAAATAAAATAACATGGCCAACTGAAAAAATATCTATATCTACATTTTTGCATTTTTCTTCATTTAGGCAAATAAAAAGTATCTATTATTATATATGGCTGAAAAGGTAAAAAAAATGCTACTCAACGGGATGGCCAAATACAGGGTGTTCTATTTAAAAAAACCTATGTTTATGTAATATCGGAGAAATTGTGGGATTTGTAAAAAATCTGAGTACGCCAATGACTTCCTAATAAAAAATAGAAGAAATAATGTCAACACTTTTTTCTTCTAAATTGAATGACAACGGAGATAGAGAGGTTAATGTAAATGGGCCATATTTCAAAAAAACCCTGTATATCTAAAACTAATCAAGTTAGCCAAGACCTTTTGGTACCAGCGAAGTAAACTCAAAAAAAGAGGACGGGACATCGATATCAGATTTTTTTGTATCTATCACCGTTTTGGCTGTACCCTATAAAACTATCGAAAATCAACCACCCTGTACAGTTTGATCTGAAATAGGCGTGGTATTAATTTGTCAAGAACAAAAACTTGTTTGAATATAAACGAATGTCCCCTGGAAAGCATGCATATATCTCCAAAAAATGTCTAATCTACTACATTTTTGCAACTGTTTTCATAAAGAGTAACTATTTATAAAAAATATGTTTTTTAATATATTTTTGCTGAATAAGTGATTATCACTGATTTCAATGCTGAACTGTGTGTTCACAAATTCCGTTTCAAATATTTTTACCTTAACTTTTAAATCAAAATTACTTCAAAACAATTGATACTAAAGTACCCCTAAACTGTAAAATTTCTTAATTTTGGTTCAAACAGTAGAAAGAAAGATCCAGATACGAAAAAGGTTCCCAGGTTTCAGTGTTTTATATTGCATGGTTTAGGACATATATGGAAGAAAGAACGGCAGAAATTCACCTTTAAGGGACTGTTGACCCTTGGAACTTTTTCATTTATTTGCAGTTGACTGTGCTGCTAAAATATTGTAAACTAATTTCGTAACGCTCTGTGTAGTTATATTTGAGTTTTAAAACTAAATGCTACCTTGGGATCATAGATTTTTAAAGTGGCCCCTTCATCAAGTAAAGTTTTCGCCACGTATACTGCTGGACTCTCCCTTGTGTCTCCAGTATTACATTTGAAGGCGAATCCTAATATACATATCTTCTTTCCACTGACAGTATTTAACAGTGATTCGATAATTTTTGCCGTAAAACGAGACTTTTGATATTCATTCATGTCGATTACTTGTTGCCAGTACGCAGCTACTTCGGGCAAATTGAGACACTGGCATATGTATACCAAATTCAGGATGTCCTTTTGGAAACAGCTCCCACCGAAACCAATAGAGAAAATACATAAATTAAATACAGCTTAACTACAGTGTTTGTAAGCACTTTTGTTGAATATCATGATGAATTTTTTTCTAGTTACCAGTTTTTAAAAAATATGATTTTTATTTGACAAAAAATCAAATAATACAAATTAAAAAAAAATAAATATTGGAGAAGATCCTTGTCAGAAAATAGTTTTGCATTTAACAATAAATTGTTTAAGAAAATGGTCGGAACATTATTACAATTCACTACATGTAAAATTTAAGATTACCGACTTGATAAATTAAAATTATCTATAAAAAAGACATCTATATGTATAAGATATATAAAAATTACGCCAATACGCCACGTGTTTCGAAATTAGAACGGAGACATAATACAGTTATGACAAAATCTGAAAAAATATATATATAAATATATATATAAAATATCCTGAAAATTAAAAAAGAAATTAAAACAACTTCTTTTGACTCCAATTTATTGAAGCTAGGAAATTTTCCCGTTATTTGTTTTTATACTTATCAATATAACTTGACCAATTTCTCTATCAGTTTATTGAAACAAAAAGTGTAGAACGAGTAGGTATGAACGTACTTTTGACAGTTTTCTTACATAAATATGTTGAACCATTATTAAAATTATAAAACGATTTATACAGAGTGTTTTTTTACAACTCAACAGCTCCTACAAAATCGATGTAAGTATGGTGATAATAACCGTTCATTACTTTTTCCTTTTTCGGATAATTTCGGATTTTTTATTTGGAAGTTTTTGGGTCTGTTATAGAAGTTTGATTAAATGAGCGTTGGGTACAAAACAATATTTTTTAAATGTCTACGTCACTGAACTGAAATTACAGTCAACCTACAAAATCGGAACCTACTGGCACTTTGTTAAGTATTGTAGTATGGGTGGCAAGATAATGTATACATTTAAAAAATATTTTTTTTAACCCAAAATGGTCATTTAATCAAAATTTTACAAGAGGCCCAAAAACTTTCAAATGGTATCACCTATCAAATAAAATATAGTTGTCATTATTGCCCGAATTGGAAAAAAGTTATGAACGGATATTCTCACCATACATCAATCTTGTAGAAGTTGTAAAAAAACACTCTGTATAACACCTAAATGTGTAGATTGAAAGCAAAAGTCCACACGCAAAAAACTATTAAAATCGAATAATACGTATTCGAGTTATTTACAAAATTCAAAAAAAGTTCACGAACTTTGAGGCCATCTAGCGGCTAAACGAAACGATTTTGGATATAGTTGAATTAGCCTCAATCTTCCTATTTTGAGTCCACGAATCTGTGGTTTTCTGTTGTACACGTTATTCTGGGACACCCTGTATCTGTAGTAATTAAATAACTAACTAAATATGTTTCCCTGAAGGCTTTCTATAATAATATATGAACAATTAATAGTCCACAGTACAGGCCCCCCCTGGAAAGTTGATTACCACATACTTTATAACTCCTGAGGGGCATCCTTTTGACGAGTCTACCACATTTTTCCTCTACGACTTTTCTCGATTCCTCCGCTTTTCCACTCGGAAAAGTCCAAAAACATGGCAATTTCCCGGGGTCTTGAAAACTCAAGACCACATCTTTTATTTTTAGCCTAAGTAACTGGAAATTTTGTTGCAAATGCGGATTTAAATTTGTCCGACAGAAATTCTTCCGACATTGACGTATCTACCGGTCGAAACATGCCAAAATAACAGGGTATTGAAAATAAATTACCACATAGGTAATTTTTAGTAAAATTACTTGTAAATAATTAATTCAGTCAAAAAGTATTGTTGTCCGACAAATTTCAAGCCGCGTTTTTTCAGTCCGACAACTGGAAATCGGAATTTTCTCGGGATATGATAAATCGATTACCACATGTCGGACAAAAATAACACACGATAGAAAAGTGTTTTTTATAAGCAAAAATTGTAATGTCTGACAAAAATATATCCGCAAATTATTATCAGTCCGACAAAAAATGATGAAAAAGATTTCGTAAAAAATGTGCACATGTATTTATAATTTCTAATAAGGTATTTTCATGTATTAAGCAAAATTCCATATAAATATACAATACAGGGTGTTTCAGAAAGACCTCCCGTAAATACAGGGGGTGAGGACGACAAAAAATAAGAATTTTTTGTCATATGAACTATATGTCTATCTCCTCAAGCTTACTTTGAAAAAAGTCGTTTATTTTATAGTGTAATATTGTAAGAGTTTAATTAAAAGCCTCTTTTCTCGAAAATCGTCCACATTAGGAAGTTCTAATAAGAGTACATTATTTTTAGAAAATAAAATTGTACAATAAAAATTGGAGCCCGAATGGTAAAAAACCTAACCTAAAAAAAGTAGAACTTAAAATGTAATAAGAATGTAGCATAACTAGCGCCCTCTATGAAATATACAAAAAATAATTAGACTAACATATTTGGCACCCTTAAAAACCCCGGACTACCAAATTTCATAAAAATATTTCGCACCGTTTGGAAATTTTCATAAAAATGTTATTTAAAAAGTTTTACTTTGTCTCTCTGTATCTCGAAAACAAGAGGAGATAGATAGTTCATAAGACAAAAAATTCTCATTTTTTGTCGTACTATCACCCCTTTATTTACGGGAGGTCTTTCTGAAACACCCTGTATATATTTTTCGTTTTATTCTTGTAATTGTAAATCTCTATATGCTCAATTTAGCCAAATAAATATCGAGAAAAGAATTAAACGATTTCAAAAAAGTATGTATGGTGTAAAAAAATTATGCACAAAAGTTTTGGGATTTTCTTTTAGAAAAATAGGAAAATTTTTGTAAAGAAAAATAACAAACGCGAATGAAAACTTGAAAGAGAAAAAAGGATTTTTATATCAAGTATAATATTAATTTATTTAGAAATAATGCATTATGCACTAAGATCGTATTAATCGCCTCAAAAATAACTTCATTTGTTTATAACTTTTAAATTTTTAAGCATAAAATAAGCAATATTATAATTATTTATTTGAAACAAATAATAATTTACATAATAATAATTAATAACCATTTATAAATATGAAATTTTTGGAGTGAAAAAATTAAATTTCATCACGTTTATTGATTTATTGATTTTTTAATAATTTGCGGACATTAAATCGTCGGACACTTATATCACTATTTTGTACAGTAAATTTAAAAGTGGAAAAAATGAAAATTAGATATGTGGTAATCGATTTTTCATACCCCGTGAAAATTCCGATTTCCAGCTGTCGGACTGAAAAAACGCGGCTTGAAATTTGTCGGACAACAATACTTTTTGACTGAATTAATTATTTACAATTAATTTTACTAAAAATTACCTATGTGGTAATTGATTTTCAATACCCTGTTATTTTGGCATGTTTCGACCGGTAGACACGTCAATGTCGGAGGAATTTCTGTCGGACAAATTTAAATCGGCATTTGCAACAAAATTTCCAGTTACTTAAGCTAAAAATAAAAGATGTGGTCTTGAGTTTTCAAGACCCCGGGAAATTGTCATGTTTTTGGACTTTTCCGAGTGGAAAAGCGGAGGAATCGAGAAAAGTCGCAGAGGAAAAATGTGGTAGACTCGTCAAAAGGAAGCGCCTCAGGAGTTATAAAGTATGTGGTAATCAACTTACTATAATGCTTTTGTATATTTACCTACTGATGGTTGCAAAAATTTTGAGCCAATTCTGGAATCAAAACCAACAGCTCTAGCTACTTCTGATACATCTGCGCCAGTGGCTTCACATACTGCAGACAAGGAATTTATACTGGATATTCTCTGAGCTAACAAAGCATTTGCCGCCTAAATAAAACTTATTATGTTATGGCGAAGAGCACAACAATTTTAATAAGGTTTACATACCAATTTTGACAATTCAGATGACCAAGTATTTGTGGTCAAAATTTTTTTTCTGGGTATCCAATGTTCGTAAATACTGCATAATTTTTCTATCGCCTCTTTGCCCCCAGCAGACTCTTCTCCACCAATTAAAACTCTGTCCGCGTTCAGTAGGTCATTTATTGCAGTTCCTGGAAAATTTCGCCTGTACATAACTTGCTGCAATCTATAGTTTATAGGTAATACTTTAGAACAAAAACACAATTCAGCCAGTTGAAAGTTATTTTCGAAGTTCTGCTTCTTTAATGTGTTTTACTGTAGTAAAAGTAACTAACAAGTTACGATTAAAGTTTCCAGTGAGGTAGGTACTAACTGAAGGTCTGTCATTTTTCACTTTACCAGGAAAATGCCTTGGAAGACACCTATTAGTGAAATCCATAGTTATTAAAGGCAATTTGCAAGTTGGTGTTAGTTTATATGAATTTGTGTGGCTCTGCAATTCTATTCAGGTACTTTATACAACAAATTTATTAAATTTATAGTTGCTTGACGTTCTGGTAAATGTAATTCAAAACTATTTTTTCGTCCAACGACACATTTAGCAAAAAAATTTCTCTACTGCAAGTACATCAAGTGTTGGAAGCGATTTTTTAAATAATTGGACTACTTTGGAGGATTAAATAGTTCATAAACCATCTACTAGTGAAAACAAACATGACAAGGGATATCCTTTATAGGTTGTTCTAATTTCACTATAAATGTTTATAATAAATAACATTATTTTCGTTAAAGAACAAATTTTAATTTTTAATTCAGCGCAGTAAAAATGCTTCTAATTTAAATGGGGCACTTTAGTGCCTGGCAGTTGTCACTAAAACTACACCTTCAATGTCGATCAGCGAAAAATTTGTTTTTATCCATAATCACCTTATGATCGGACTTTTATCCACATATATGAACCGTCTAAAGTGATACTTTATCCACTAGTGCAATAAAGTAACTTCATATCACTAGTAGAATGATGAAAAAATAATAAACCTATAATAAATCCATTTATTTACTTATTAACATTAACATTTACATTTATGGTAATAGAATTTGGCAATTCGCAGCATCGACAGGCACCAGCTTAAAATAATTCAAAGTTCACTATATACTTAATGACATGTAAAGGGTAAACAGATATTGCCTTAATCATTAAATATTCTGCATCGGAAGCCCCAAGTCAAAAATTCTTTAATATATGCCCATTCCAATACTGCAGCATTTTTTGCTTTGTATCCTCTCCATTCACTCTTCAAATAAGCAGTAACCTTGTTATATTTTCCAATATCTATATTTTTGTAGACCTTTATAACGAGCGTTCAAATAAAAACTAATGACTATATAACTTTATTTTAAAGAATAATCGTGATAACAATAACAAACAATTAAAGGAGCTGCGGAAAGTGTCCCCCTCCTTGTTCCAAGCACTTTTCACACCTGTTCCTCAAATAATTAAAGACATTTTCTAAGATGCTCGGGGTATTGTTAATTTCACGAATCTTGTCTATAAGTCGAGCCTGCAGATGGTTTAAATCAGGAATAGGCAGTTCAAAAATAGTGTTTTTAAGGTAAGGCCACAAAAAGAAATCACACGGCGTAATATCACATGACCTCGGTGGAAATTCATGTTCAGCATTGAGACTTATTAGTCGATTTTGGAAAACTTCCCTCAACATATTCATCGTCTCGCCTGCCGTATGTGCCCTTGCGCCATCTTGTTGAAAGTAAAAGTTTGTAATTTCGTTTTCTTCCAGCTGGTTAACAAAAGGAGCGATAATTTCTTCTCTATACCTTTGCGCAGTAAGAGTACCATTAAAAAAAATAGGTCCATAAATCCTCCTTCGATTGAGAGCACACCAAACTCCAATTTTTTGAGCGTGTAGAGGGCCCTCGACAAAAAAGTTATCTGGTTTTTCAGAAGACCACATTCTCATATTCTGTGAGTTTACGTAACCACTTAAATGAAACCAGGCTTCATCAGAAAAAAAGGTGATATTATGAAGTTCACCGTAGTTGTTTAAAAACCATTCACAAAATACAGCCCGTCGCGGAAAATCAACTTCATGAAGTTCTTGCTGACAAGTTAAACGATAGGAGAACAAACGCAAATCTTTTTTTAACACTGTGTGGCAGGTACCGACTGATACTCCCACCATTTGTGATAAAACACGTACAGAAGTTCTTGGCGCATTTTCCATTATTTGTTGGACATTTTCTTTTAATTCTTCAGTCCGCTTTTTAGGTCGGCCGCTTCCTTCTTTTCTTGTTACACTGCCCGTTTCACGAAAAACATTAACACAACGCTGAACTGCACTTTGAAAAATTTTGTACTCAACAACGCCGGGAAATTGATTTTGAAATTCTATGAAACATTCCTCAATAGAATACTTCCATATTCCATCAATCTTGCGTCCATTTCTAAAGTAGGACTCTATGATAAACACTTTTTGTTCTTGAGAAAACACCATTTTAAACGCTTTTTAAAACGAAAATATTCAAATTGATAGCGGCGATATAGCGCTTTGACAGAGACGTTTAAGTTCATTTGCTATACGCTACGCCCTACGTCCAAATTTTCAGAACCAACTTGACCACGTTTTTATTTGAACGCTCGTTAGTTGCCTCCAACATCGAATACTTCGACCACAAATACGATAGCATGACTTCTTCATTTATTGTCATTACTCTTCGTTTTTCCCTCCATTCGTTAAGTTCGGCCAACACTTTTTGTAATGTTCCCTGGATTTCGCTGGCAATAAATCGAAAATTGCTTCTTGAACTTCTTCAAAAACAGCCACAGGAACACAATTACTATCTTGCATTTTTACCAAATTCAGATAGAACCGTTTATTAAATAACTGATAATAAACAACGTACCATAACAACCAGTAAATATAAGAAAACCTACCGCGTTTAATTGACTACTAGCAAGAAATATCAAGTCGTGCGAATATTTTTTTATTAAATTCCAATCTTGTAAAAAGTCAAAAACCTGAATAGGTAATATTTTTAAAGATCAAATATTTCAAATAATATTTCAAGATCAATTAAGTATTCTGACACTTACCTTCTGCTAAAAATTCCGGATTTGACAAAATCTGATAGGAGACCCCCGGTTTTTGATTAGCAATAAAAATTTTTGCTATGCTTTCCGCTGCCCTAACAGGAACGGTGCTCTTTTCAACGACGATTTTATTATTTTTTGCGATGTCTGCGATCATTCTGGCTGCTTCTTCGACATATTTTAAGTCTGCGGCCCTACCCTGTGTAAAAAATTACATCAGTTTTTTTGTGTTCAATCAACCAATACACAGTAATTTATTTAAATTGCAGTTGCTTATTAAATATAATTTTTCAGAATCTAATATCCGTTCGGTACAATACGCAACAGTGGCGGCTGGTGAAAATTAAATTGGTCATATTTAATGTTTTTAGGGAATGATTTCTATGCTCAGAAAGAGAACAGTTATGAACGAACGGAATTTGCGAAATAAAATATTGTCAATTCTCTGTTGCATGAGATCGTTACCTTCCGATCATCTGGGTTATTATCGAATGCCAAAAAATCTGTACCAGATGATTTCTGCAGATGTTAATGACATACAAAAAAAGTCACAGGAATGCTTGATGAAATCAGCAGAGATAATGACACTTGCAGATCTGCTCAAAAACAACCTGCTTCTTTCGGAAGAATTTTATTGGAATATTTTCCATATTTTTTAATGTAGTGACGATGTTTGACGTACTAATTATGGGATAGGACAATGACGTGGCACATGTCCTATTAAAATCTTAGACGAAGTTTGTTTCCTTTGTAAAAAAAATAAATATTTTGAAAATTAGATAAATACATTTACTTTCAGTTAATCATACTAAGAATTTTTTTTTAATTTTATCTGAATGGGTCAAAATAAGTCTAAGCATTGTATAAGTAAATATTTACTTATACAATGGTCTAAGACATACTTGAATAAAAAGAAAATAATTCCAAATAACTCCTGAAGGAATTTTATGAAGGATAGTACAGTATTGCACTCTCAAAAAATGCAACAATTGTATGTCGTTATGTCTCGGGCACATTTCATAAGAATTTTTTTTATTAATTTGTGATACATCCACTATTGAAATAGGCAAAGAATGTGATTAACAACCTGTATAGACTTAATAGTAACATTTTTTATTACTAGGTGATACTAAAATTTGAAAATACTGACCTTTCCATTCCCAATGACTTTAGTTGGTGTATTTACGGAAATAAATATTAAATCGGCTTCTAAAATTGCAGTGCTCACATCATTCGAAAAAAATAAGTTTTTCCCTCTACACAATTTAACGACTTCGTCCAAACCAGGCTAAAAGAATAATACTCATTGCCTATGTTTTAATACAGTCATTGCTGAAAATCAGCTGTAACCTCCGAATTCTTTGAAACTGCATGGATTTGCATGAAAATTTAGAATAAGGCTCATCTTAGGCTCAAGTTCAAAAGTGACATAAGCCCGATTGACGCTTTTTGTTTTTTGGGGTAAAAACTACCCCTAAGTGAAAAAAAATGAATAAATTAAGTTTTATGCATTTTATTGATAAAAATCTTGTTCAAGCACAAAGATTAAATAATGTTCTATGTTCTCGAATATGTTTTGATATATTTGAGCTTTTCGACCCTTTATTTAAACCTTAAAAACTACCCTGTGCAAAAAAATAATGATAAAAATTACTTTTTAAAGATTTGGAATGATTAAATCGTGCAATTATTTAAAATAAAAGTTACCTTATAGCTAATAAAAGAATTTTTCCTATTCAACACCTAAAAACCACCCATGTATTGACAAAAATGATAAAAAAATACTTTTTAAAAGCTTGGAATGCTTTAACGGTGCAATTATTTAAAATCAAAATTCCCTCATTGTTTATGAAAGAATTTGTATCTCGTAACAATTTTCAACCCTTATAAATTCACCCTGTGCTAAAAAAATGATAAAAAATTACATTTTAAATCTTGGAATGCTATAATTATGCATAATTTAAAATAAAAATTCCCTTATATTGTTTATGAAAGAATATTTTACTTTTGCCAATTTCAACTCTTATAAACCACCCTTTTACCAATGTTAATGTAAAATATTTTTATTATAATCGATTTTTAAATATAAATCAATCATAAAAAATTGCTAAGCTGCATATAAATAATCACGCTAAATTTTTTTACTTATTTTATTTGTATAATATAATATATAACATATAAAAATGAGAAATCCTATTTTGCTCCGAAAAAATGTCATTGGATTTTTTACCATAACGTGGTTAATTTTCAATTTAAAATGCTTTTTTGTAGGATACTATAGTATCCTACAAAAAAGCATTTTAAAGATAATTTCAAGAGCTGTAAGATCGTTTGCATATAAAAGCTTTTATGTCCTTCGTTTTTTAAAGAGAAAGGATCGAAGGGCTTGGACCAGGTCGTTTTTTCACTGAAATGGCTACTTCAAGCGGCGATATCTTCTTTATTTTTTATGTTATAGGAATATAAAAAAAGCAAAATATTTGTTAAAAAAAGCTACATATTTGTTGTCTATAATTTTTTACGTATCTTTCATAGTTTCAGAGTTATTATGTAAATAAGGCAATTTTTTTTAATAATGAAAAATACGTTTTCAACTTTTACCGTACATTATTAAAAAAATATGCATTCTAAACCGGTATAACTTCAGAATCGTATGAAAAACACTAAAACAAAACTAATTGTAAAGGGTCTACGATTAATTTTAATTCTGATGGAAATGGTACAGCGTTTACTGCTCATTTTCCCTTAAAAAATATGAGCAACCCATCTGTTTTTGACGATAACTCCTTTTCCCAGTTTTGATCTAATTAACTTTTATAAGTGCGCATTTTGAAGGTCTTTTTGAGTACTACAATAAACTCCAGGAGCGTTATACACGTAAAATTAATCCTTTTTCCGTTATTTGACGTTGAATACATCGATTCGAGTATTCCCCCCAAAACAAGTCCCCTTCCACAAACTATATTTCGCTTTGTATCGGACGTACAACACTTTTTAAAAAACGATTTTCTTTGATTATGTATAAGCTACATTTTTGTTCATTACACTTTTTTAAATAAAATGCGTAGTTTTTGAGTTATTCATATATAAATCAATGGAAAGTGGGTCCCAGTCGATTTTGCTGAAATTGCAGTATGTTATAATTTTTGACTTTCTGATCAAAAGTTGTCATGGGCCCAAAGTGATCCTAGGAATTAAATTGAGATTGAATTGACCTTGATTTGATTTCCAGGTGACCTTATGGGGCTCAGTTATACCCGAATTCAGGTTCAGCGACCTCAAAAGCATACATATTTACAAGTTAACATTCGTGAAAGGCCTTTTCTTTACTTTGACCTTGAAATCATCTTAACTTGACCTAAATGTGACGTTGTAGGGCTAAGCCATCCCCGAATTCAGTTCCCTCCCAAAAATAACTTATATACGCACTGGTTCAATACAAGCCTTTCCTTTAGTTTGATCTTGAAATGACCTTGAATTGACTTGAAGGTGATCTTTATGGTTGCTCTATCTTTATATTCAGATTCTGCGAGTCCAAAATCCTATACACTCACTGGTCAAAATTCAATACAAGTCCTTTCTTCAGTTTGACCTTGAAACGACCTTTACCTGACCTCCAGGTGACCTTAGATAGCTAAGCTATCCCCGAATTCAAGTTCAGAGATCCCAAAAGTATTGTAAATGAAAAATTGCAACTCCAGTATAGTGTCTATATGGTGTGGAAAATTACTCCAAAAATTAGAATATGAAATTAAAAAAAAAACATTCATCTGTTAGTAATTTTCACAGCTTAAACATATTTGGTACAACTCATTGTCATACTCAACCCTAATGGTATAAATGTAACTATGATTCCACTTTTTATGATATTGTGTTTATTGGGAATCAATTATTTCTGATAAAATAAATTGTACAAACTATAAATCAACATAATATTAATTTGTTCATCAGGTTTGAGGTAAATACCTAATTAATACCAATTGTACGAATACATATTTAATTAATTTAAAAAATATGTATTTCTAACAAAGAATATTGACTTTAAACAAATAAACAAATAAATACTCACTGAAAATGAATAAATAAGAATATCATACCTCAAAAATAGGAAGTTTATCAGAGTTCCATTGGGCTATCCGTTCCTTGCTTAAATCTACCACAGTGACTTTAATCTCGGGACATTTTAATGCAATTACACTACAAGTTGGTCCGCCAACATATCCAGCTCCCAAGCAACAGATACTTTTGATCGCCATTTGTTATTCACATTAAAGTACCTAAGTAAATAAATTAGGTATAAATTAGTTGTTATTAAAAATATGCTAAAAAAAAGTGAAAATTTAAGTTAGATATTAAGTTGAATAACAATAATTTAGTAACATGTTTATACAAGTACTTCTGATGAAAAAAGTGGAGACTAAATATCAGATATTATCATGGATTAGAACATATTTCATTCTCTCGTGATGTAGGTATGAAGGTATGTAGGTAATTGTAAAATAAGAATACAATAAAAAGTCCACAACCACCCCAAAACACAAAATACTGAAAATAAACTTTCTCTAAAATCTTGCTAGACCTATTAATTATATTTAGGACACTCTTTTTATCCCTAAAGTTATGAATTATTATTTTTTACGCTGTTATCTTGTTTGCTTGTGCTGAAATAGCAAAAATCGTTAGCTCCAACAATACCGTGATATAAACAGCCCACGCATGGTGCGTATCAATCACGAGCAGATTTCGGTGATAATATAAAGTAGGGGGAAATTCGTAAATAGATATCGCCACTAGAATGGGCAATACGGATCCTTTTAGCGATCCGCGAAATGTATAAAGAATCGCATCGAAAGATCAGCATTAAAAGTTCTGCATCAAAAGATCTGCAGTTGTACTTGTACAGAGCACAAATGATTCCAAGCCACGTGTCCAGAAATTTTATTTATATCAGTAATTTTATTTATTTCACATTGACAATTGAATATCGGTAAAATTAAAAGAATAAGATCAAGATTACATTAAAACACAACATTCTCTTTTTCTGTTTTACCGGCTGGTGATTCGTGTAATTTTCACGAAATTCTATTCAACCAATCAGAGATTGCATTATCTGGAGCGTAGATGTAACGGTTTTTCATTGTTCATTGTAACCGAATCATTAATATTGGTAACTACAGGGTTTAGGAATTTTCGTTACCAGTATGGTCTTTCCGATCTCAATTGTAGGCCAAAGAGCTACATACCTACCAGCTTCGGTCGTTACGCAGCAACTCGGCATTGAAAAACTTGTTCCCATATTTATTTAGCCATACCCATATACAGGTCTGGTCGAACAGTTAAAAAATGCGCGCGCGGGCAAACGGCGCACAAACACAGCCGCACTGGGCGACCGGTCATAAATTTCAATTGTTGACAAATTGTCTAGCAGTGCAGTGCAAATCAACTGACTTCGGAAAGACTATATCAATTGTGCAATGTTGGGTCGCCTAAGTTCGATGGTCACGAAACATTTATGATGGCTTTACATGAACTTATTGTAGATGCGTGCACTTGTCGATAACTCGTTCCTATTTCGTATTTTGTCTCTTGTGTCACATTCTCTATACCTACATATTGAGATAAATCACAAATTTGAAATTTAAATATAATACAAAATTAACAAATGTCAAAGGATGACAGAATTAAAGGTAGATACAAATTCGATATTAGGATGAAAAACGATTATGTAAATAAAAAATTAATAAACGATAAATCAAGAAATTATAAATCAAAATTTATGTTATTAGAATCTAAGCATTGTAAATAGTAGATAGGAAAGTTGAAGTGAAGTGAAAGAAAGGAAGAGAACGTTATAAGAATATAAAGGAAGGTGTAAGGACCTTAAGGAATAGTGAGGATCAAGGGAAAAACAAAAGAAAGAAGAAAAAAGAAATTAGATACAAAAATAAAAAGGAAAGTGGAAGGAAAAGTAAAAAATTGACGAATTTAGAATTATAATAAATTGGAGAAGAATAGCAATATTAAAAGGAATTACGAAATTATATGCACGTTGTTGTTTCAAGAAGATTTAAAAAGTAGTTTTCTGCAAGATGGATCTAATATGTTCATGGATAGAAGTAGAATCCATATTACAGTTCCTAAAGATTTAAAACCCAGGATTATGAAAGAAGGTACATCATTTTATTATACTGCAGTGAGAATTAATCCAATTATAGAGAATTGCAATTGTCAGTAAAGACTGACAGATCTGTGAATATTAAAACTAAGATAGACGAAACATTACAGATAGGAAGATTGAAGGTAAAGACTTACCTTTAATAATGTTTTGTTAAACCAGAACAAGTTATTTACAAAGAACATAAATACAATTCATATACATATTTGTGAACAAAACTTTATGACAGGAACAGTCAAATAACTGTCAAGTATTAGTTTTTCTTCTATAATAAGGTTGTTGGAAATTAGTTTTAGAATTATGATATTTTAAATATCTGCAACTAGTTATACAAACAATTTTATATAAAATATATATATAATTTTGATAGTATAATTAAATAATAATCATTTATATAAGGTTGGTTATATATAAAATGAAAACAATTTAGAATATAGTATTGTATTTCAATTTAATAATGTTAAAACTGATTTATTGTTTAAATTTGCTTGTAGGGATACAAGATATATTGAATTTGTTGAACCATCTTTGAGTTTATAATTTATAATACAGACATAATTTGTGATTTGAGTTTTAATTTTGTTGTTTCTATAATTGTGCTATATTGTTGCTAGAACTGACCCCTAGATGAGTGTTTGTGAATAAAAAAAAATATCAAAGTATAGTTACCTTATAATAATTTCAATTTAATAATAATAATAACATAAATTAATTCAAATAAGTAATTTAAATTTAATTTTGATATTATTATATATAAAAAAAATTATTAAATTAATATTAAATACCTATAAATTATAAAGTTTGCAATTATTACAATATAATTTAATTCAATTAAAATATAAGAAACATATAACTATCGCATTACATGTTTCAAATTCGCCCTTTTTTTACAAAGTACAGCCACAGTTAAAGTACAAATTGCTTTTTGTGTTTAACTTATTTATGAAATTAATTTAAGGCGATGTAATTTGCACATTTTTTGTAAACAACATTATTATAAATTCATTTATTAGCAGAACCGTGAACTTCAGCAGAACACGGAGCAATATATTGCGCTCAGTTTAAGAAGATATCAAATAATTTACAAGCGAAATAACTTCAAATTTATTTTTGATCAAAGGGTTCAATAATTAAATACGAAATGCACATCATTCTGCCAATTGTCTTTTACATTGTAAATATCGTTTCAGGCTCAATTGTTTCGCAGTTTCGTATCGGCATTTTAATATTTAAGTTCCTGTGCGCTAAACATTTTAAACGATGACAATCTTGGTGACTGTATTCCGTTAAATAAATTTTATTACATTTTGTAAGTTGTTTATGAACGAATTTGCAATAAAAACTGTACTATATAGCATTCAGATTGCTTCATTAGTTTGGGTTTTATAAGCAAAAAAACTAAAAAAATGCTTTGTTTTACATAAAAAAGTTTATAAAAAATTAATTAATGATAAATTGAAATAGGAAACATATAAGCATGTATCTGCAGACTGTCTTTTACATGATGGCACAGTCGTTTGCTACTAGTATTGTCACAAAATCACCGATTTAATACTCTAATTGATTGGTCTAATTTCCACTGGATATCCGCAAGATTTATATGTATGATGCGGATCTTTCCCACCACCATAATTTCGTGTTCAAGAATCTTGTTTTTCCTTAGAGGTTATAAAATAAAGTAGAACCTTTATCAAATTGTCGTTACCACAGTATCGTGGACAACGGATTCTTTAATATAAAAAAGATTTGACGTTTCTAACACCAGCTGAAATTACCTATACTTTTAATTCAGCAAACGCGGCTTTCAGATAAATATTTCATAAAGCAATGATTCAACGTAACTTTTTCATAGTATTTATAAAACTACAAATCAGCAGCTAAAAAAAATTATAAACGTACTCACTTTTATTAAGAATTTACTTACTGTCGTACGATTATCTCAAGTTTATCTTGATCTACCACACAAGTAACCTACTAACCACTGCTACTTGCCACTGTGCCACACCACAATTTAGGCACCACTCCACTAAGATTTATATCAGCAGGTAAAATATCCAGCTGTAGCAATTCCTGAATTAAAACTATATTGGTCAAAAAAATCTTAATTTAAATTTAATTTTAAAAATTACATACCTGCACTGATTTTGTTGAATTAAGTATATGGAATAACACATAAAATCAAACAAATCATTCAAATCGTTTTCCTTTGAAAATAAAAAAATGAATGATGTACTGCAAATAATGGATTTGGCTTTCGGTATTGACATTAGCAGTAATCTTAGACAAGTTAATCTTGAACTCTAAGGCATAAATCACTATGTCAACACGTTATTCGATAAATCTGTATCCAATTTTAAAATAAAATATATTTTGTGACAATACACCATTGATATAATAAGCATGTAAATTATTATTTTGAAAGTAAAAATTTATTATCTTACTTGTTAAAATGAAAGTTTGTTCATTGAATAAACCAAAGGTAAGTATTTAAACATTTGATAAACATATATAATACTTTAATTTTATTTTATAAAAGTTATTAAATATGCTGCACTTTCTGACAAGTTAATAACCGTTTAATATACATTATGTGACAGGTATTAAAATATTAATTATTAATATTATTAAAACATTTATGGTTAATTGCAATATCAATAAAGTATTAAAGTACATGTACCTTAGATTTAAGATTTAAATATATTGAGGGGCCTTACCTATTTGCAATTTGTTGGATATATTTACACACTTACTTCTGTTAATAATAATTTTAGAATTGTTTATATAAGGTTGATGGTGATATTATCTAAATAAAGAAAATATACCTATATAAACATTTAGATAAGATAAAATCGAAAAAAAACACTTAGTTATATAATATATAATTATATGACTAATATAATTTAATAATTTTAATATTTCCGATGCAAGGAAAATATACAATTTCTAATTTAATTAAACATTGTTTTTTTATTTGTATTCCAGTTTACATGTATTCGAATACATAACCCGAGTTATTGAAAGATGTGTCTTTATTACTCAGAGCTAACATGTCGTTTATGATGGCGCTCCACCACATTTCACGGTAGATGTATTTGAACTAAAGATTCTCTCGTGGATGGATCGTTAGAGGGATAATGTTCCTGTTACCTGTACGTTCACCAGACTTAACACTTTGCGACTATTATCTTTGGGGCACTCTGAAAACAACAGTGCATGGCTTCCACATCTAACACTGAAGAAGAGTTGTGGAGGCATGAATGTTTTAAAAAATAGTCCGTAAGAACAGCAAAGGGTGTCATTTAACTTTCTTCGCCGAATTAACCTTTGTTGTAGAAACATACATAATAAGTGACTAGTGGCACTTTCTTAAGTGTTGTAATGTAACATGGACTGTAAGATAACGTAGACATTTAAAAAATATTTTTTTGTACCCAAATCGCTCATTTAATCAAAATTCTGTAAGAGGCCCAGAAACTTCCAAATGGTGTCACCTATATCAAATAAAAAATAGTTGTCATTACTGTCCGAAAGAGGAAAAGTTATGAACGACGATTATTATCACCATACATCATTTTTGTAGAGTTGTGAGTTTTTAAAAACACACCAAAATTTGTAGATTGAAAGCAAAAGTCCACACCCCAAAAATAATCAAAACCGATTAATACATATTCGAGTTATTTACAAAATTCAAAAAAAAATCACGAACTTTGAGGTCATTTAGCGGCTAAACCAAGCGATTTCCGATATAGGTGAATTAGCCTAAATCTGCCTATTTTGAATCTGTGGTCTTCCGTTGTACACGTCATTCTGGGACACCCTGTATAATTTCACCCATCTCTCTAACTTTAAACTAAAGTTTGTAAGATGACGATGTTATCGGGACCAATATAGTACAACATATACCTGATTACTTGAATACTATAAACATTCGAGGATATTCTAATCCACTATTCTTTGTGTTCGAAATTTCATGTTTTTCCCAGATTTGTAACCGACAGTGGATTATCTTATCTACTTAAATTTGTTCTATATTATTGATAAAGAAGCTATGGCGAAAAAAAATTAACTTATTGTTAATCTTTGATAGTGGTTGCGTCTAGGTGATGAAAACTGATAACAAATCTCGTCTCATGATGCTTATAATTCTGTTAATACAATTCCGCGAATAATACAGTTATGTCACTCTCATATTAACTCCTTACAAAGAAAACTAAAAACTGTAAACATAGAGTCGTGGTCGAAAAAATATTTATTTTTCGATTTTTTCATTCCTTTCAACATCGATATTAAAGTGAGATAAAATATATTGTGTCAAAAGGACAGAAAATGAGCATTAGTAGCCTGCGGATAGTAGCTGAGCTGATAGCTTTGCGTTTTCTGAATGTATGACACACAACTGTTTTTAGCCTAGCATTAAACAAAACCAAAAAAAAAAGGAAAAATATAACAAAAGTTTCACAAATATAAACATAGTTTTATAATTATATCCTGAGTACAATTATTGATAGTAATACCAGAATTTGTAGGCATTCGGTAAATGTTTGAAGTGCTAGCAGCATGGTGACTTGATGAAGTTGATGGTTGATTGGAATTGTCTAGATTAACTGGTATTTTATTTATTTGATCGGAAATATTTAATACCTTTTTTGCGTTATTTTCTCTAGTACTAGATTGTTGTTTTGGGTTTGCCAGGATTTTTCGAGAAATATAAATTTTACTGATAAGCAGTCATCGATATATCCTTCTGCAACTGTAGAAGAACGCCAACCTCCATGTTTTTTAAGTGTTAGTAAATCACTCCCAGAGTTAGCTAGTAGGATTGCGGAACTACGGAAGAAGCAATGTCCTGTGTATGTATTCGGTTCAGGCAGTTTAAAAAAAGTGGCTATTTTGCATGGAATTTTGCTAAATACTTTTTCCGATCGTTTGCACTGTGTATTTATTATTCTTGTAATAAATGAAAAAGCAATTATGAGGAGTGTGGGTAGATCTAAGAGAAACATATTTGTTGTATATTGTAAGTAGATTCAGTTCATCAACTGTTTGGTTTGTGACTATAAACGTTCTTGTAATATTATTTTTTGTTTGTGGAACTGTAACAATCAATAAATATATCTTCTCTATTATCTATGTGTGGTCAAGTTTCCTATTCAACAACTCATTTCGACGACAAGCTCTGTATGGTCCCATAATAAGAGAAACCTATAATGCAATGTTAATAGAAAAACATATTTAATTCAACTTAGTTTACGTTGATTCCGAATCATGTACTTCCTTAAAAAATCTAATACATTGTTCTCGAGTAAAACTTTTAGACTTTTTGGGCAGGTAATTTACAGAATTTTGTTTAAAAAATGCTCGAACAATTTGAAAATTATCAAAATTAATATTTTCCTTGACTTTAAAAGTACTTTTAAATATTGAAAATTCACACCCTAGTGTACCTGCACTTACAATCCTCTTTCTGTTGAATTTTTGGTTTTTTATTCCTTTTCCAGTTATTGAACAATCCACAATACTTTTCGTGCCGTTGTCTTGACTTTGTAGGTAACAAATTCAAATAAATATTGCTTGAAGGAGGAAATTAAGCGCTGTATTTGACCTTGAAATAACCTCGAAACAACCTTAAAATGGCCTTATACAGATAAACTAACTTCCGATTCGGATTCAGCGACCAAAAAAACCTAAACTCCGAAATCCTTTCATTTAAAGCACTTTTTCTCAATCTAACCTCTAATTGTCCTTGTTCCTGATTAGGAAGGAGGGGAGAGGTCCCGTTTGGGTGGAATCGATTAGTTATTGGATGTAAATAATAATAAAATCAAATTTCTTTAGTTTGGCCAAAAATTAAGGTGGTCGAAAATCGTCCTAATTGACCTTTTGTGGCAATCTTTATTTATAACAGTATTATTTATTATTACTTTCTTTATCACCAAGATGTTTTTTTGAAAATATTATAGGAACATTGACCGTTCAACAATATTATCTATGATGCACATTACCCTGGTTAAATAAATATATTTACTCTCCAATTACATACGGTTTGTTGTTCGAAACCGGCGAGCTTATATCATTCATTTTATAACTTCCATCGTGCCCGAACTCAAAGTGAATAATGGCTCCAAAGTTATACATGACGATACTCAGTCCACCAGTAAGGGCAGTTTTGATGTGTGCAAGGGCTATAGATTTAGAACTTGAGCCCGTAGAAGTGGATTTGTTGAAGGGTGATCATCTTAAGCCAGAATTTGTTAAGGTAAACGTATTTACAATTATTATACAGAAATATATAATGTTGAAGAAAATTAACGCGCTTTGTTTTGTTCTTTATTAGTATTTCTATTTTGTGACAAAAAAACCTATAGGTACGGGTAAAAAGGTAGCCAATCTTTTATCTTCATCCATATATAGATTATTTTCATTAAAAAAACGATCCTTATAATTGTGATATACCTACAATGTCAAAAATATACAATAATGCAGTCTTGCTGCTGATTTTATACTTAGAATTTAATAATACATTATGCCAATAGATAAACAAGCTACTCTTTTTATAACTATTGATATGAACAGGATATCCTCGACTTAACCTAAGATGATAGTGGTAAACAATTTTTGAACTGAAATATCACATTTTGGACAACGATCTTACTTTATTAAAAAAGTAAATTGTAATATTTTTATTTTGAGGAATTAAGTTTGTTAAATGCAACAAATATTTTATCTGTAGGTTAGTGTCGACCTTGCATAAGTTATTGAAAGATTCCACTATAAAAGCTTATTCACGATTAAAAATTATGTCGAAATACCAAGTTTGAGGATAACCGATCCACTTCAAAATTTTTTTATTTGATAGTAAAATAAATTTCCCCCAGATTTGATATACCTGATGATTTTTTTAACCTGAAACTTTCAAATATCTCGAGAAACAGGCACACTACGAAAAAATGTCCATAATAAAAAAATAATCACTCCACTTAGGAATATTAGTGCTAAAATTAGTCCCTCTCCCCACTCTTTGTAGGTGAGACGGGAATAACTTTGAAATCTCAAGTAGGAGCTCCTATTTTTATTGCATATTTGGGTTCAACGGCTAAAAGTAGGTAGGATTTGTCTAAAACATTTTTTAGATTCGTGATATTCGCTGTAAACAACGAAATTAATATTTTTCAATTTCTCCTACTGAACCTATGCATACGATTCTGCAATACGTTTGCAATAAAAAAATAGCACGTTTTCACTGTAAATAATCAAAATTAGTTTTAAAATAAATTATATTTCTCAAATCTTGAATTGCTGAAAAATGAATTGCCAAGAAACTGCCATTATCGTAACCTTTTTGGGATACTTGCTCAACGCGATTTCCTTATCGGAGTGCTTGATTAAATCTGCCTTCAAATGAATGTATTTTTTTGTCTTTTGTTTTAAAGATACCATTTCTTTTCTTAAAAACAATGTTTATAAAAATATTAAGAAATAACTTTAAGCAACAAGTCATTTTATTCAAACTACTATGTCCACGTCATTGTTCCTAGTTACGCTAAAAGTAGTTTATTCACCAGCCATTTACATTTCTACAAGTAACAATTTACCAGTTATTCGAAATTTGCAAAATGAAAAACTTTTTTGGCGACGATATTCGAGTTTTTACATGAAATGTGGTATTTTTTATTACACATTGCATAATCGTATACATAGGTTCTCAGTAGAAAAATGGAGAAAAACTGAATTCCCTTGATAACATCCATCATGAATTGACAAATCAGACAAATCCTACGTACTTTTTGCCGTAGAATTGGAATCTGCAATAAAAAATGGGGATTCAAGATTTCAAAGTTACCCCTCTCTCCACAAGAGACGTGGGAGAGGGATTTTATGTATTACCTCGGCGGAGTGATTAATTTTTGATTATTGACATTTTTGTCTTTAAAAAAATACGCATTGTATGCATAATGTTTTATTCTATACAGCTTAATCTGGTATTTTATTCGATCTCTAACATAAATAGTAATAATTTTACATACTCAGGGGGTGTAGAAATTCCAAAAATCAAATCAAAATATACCAACTTCTTCTAAGTTTAACATATACCTGTATATTTGAAATCTGAGCAACTTTTTTTTTAATTCTGACAATATCTACTTACAATAACTTAAAACTGAATCGTTTTTCAAAACATCAAATATATTTAAAATTTAACATAAGTAGATATTATTAAAAAGAATGACTTCTTTTCCATAAAACGAAAAATATAAAAACTTTTCCTGTTTTCATCACCATAATTGGTTACGTTATATGTATACATATTAATTAATACATCATGGATGGTGATCTTTGTCCAAAGTGGGAAATTATGGCAAGAAAGAAAAAAAGGAGCTTTTTAAAGGTTGAAATATTATTTCACGATTTCAGTATTGTGTTTTTATTATTAATACAATTTAGAGTCTAAATTTTAGACAGAGAGATAACAAATTGAATAGGATTTTTAGTAAAATCTGTTATTATATTCCTCTAAAAAATAACTGACTGAAACATGAGTGCATGTTTATACAACAATAAATTATTGTTTTTTCGTGTACTTCTTTAAGATCGTGACAAAATTTCCTAAAACATTTTTCCTATGTGGCAAGGAAGATATGGGAGTAGAAAATTATGTGAATATCCCTGTACAGTTATCGACGTACATTTCAAATAAGAAGTAATACCTAAATAATGTACCTACATAAAAATTGTTTGTCGCATGATTTTGCAATAAAGCTTTATCACAATCATTTTGCGTTACCAAGCCGCTGCTAATTTAATTATTTAAAAAATAATATGTGAAACAAAATATTATTATATTATCAAGCATTCCCATTGAAAATATTCTTTATCAATGTTAAATTGCGTAAGCTAACGACTCATAAACTTTATTTTTTATGTCACAAATCATTACAGATATAATAGTCGCTAAGTAGAACCAGTATTTAATAATTATCGTCAATTAATGATATCATCAAATTTTATTACTAGGGTAATAGATACTAACAACCTACAAAACTTAATGGAAAGTACATGAGCGTTATATGAAATAATTGTAATCTATTAAATTATTTCCTCAAATGGTATAATATATCCTACTTCGTGCTGTTACATAAACCCTTTGTATGCTATATGTTACTGCTGTAGGTATTACTACAAAACTTCGTTGTTCCCTTAGTGTCTTTTGACAACATTTCATTATAACTGAAAAATTCAATGGTTAATCTATAATCTTTTTATATATTTAGTTTTTTTCTGGAAAAGTATAATAAAGGAGGTGCTTACAACCATTTAAAGAATGATGATAAATCGATATTTTAAAATTATTTAGATATCTTACATTTTAAATTTAAAATTAAAACACCAGAGTTTTTGACTATCTAAATCAAATTTATATATGAAACAGATTTGTAGAGTAATAATAAATTTCACAACATCGATCGGAAATGCATTGAAATGTCACAAAGGACCCCGCAATAATCTTATGGAAATTGGATTTCTGTCAAATTGTCTGAATTTTTGTAATGTTGTAGATTTTGTCATCCTGAACAAAAGTCTCCATGGGCACAAAGTGCCAAAATGAACATTTTGGCAGCTACGGAGCTGCCAAAGCTCCCTTGACCCGTTGCAAAACTATTCATTTTCAATACTATTTACAGATGTCAAAAGCATATTTTAATTATTCTAATATATAGGGTAATGTTTTTGAGGTCACTGGATTCAACCCTCATGTCAGATTGGACAAATTGACCGTTGACAGCTGTCAATACACTGTCAACGAAGAATAGAAAAGTAAATATTCTCTTTTCACATTGAGAGTTTGGGCTTTTGAGGGAGCTGTATTCAATTCTCATGCCAGATTGGCAAAATTGACAGTTGACAGCTGTCAATTGACTGTCAACGAGGAATATAAAAGTAAATATTCTCTGTTGACATTGAGAGTTTGGTTTCTTGAGGTCGCTGAATTCAATTATCATGCCAGATTGGAAAAATTGACAGTTGACAGCCGTCAATTTTGCCAATCTGGCATGAGAATTGAATTCAGCTCCCTCAAAAGCCCAAACTCTCAATGTGAAAAGAGAATATTTACTTTTCTATTCTTCGTTGACAGTGTATTGACAGCTGTCAACGGTCAATTTGTCCAATCTGACATGAGGGTTGGATCCAGTGACCTCAAAAACATTACCCTATATATTAGAATAATTAAAATATGCTTTTGACATCTGTAAATAGTATTGAAAATGAATAGTTTTGCAACGGGTCAGGGGAGCTTTGGCAGCTCCGTAGCTGCCAAAATGTTCATTTTGGCACTTTGTGCCCATGGAGCCTTTTGTTCAGGATGACAAAATCTACAATATATCAAAAATTCAGACAATTTGACAGAAACCCAATTTCCATAAGATTATTGCGGGGTCCTTTAAAAGTTTTTCAAGCGGTAAGTCACTTAAATTATTTACTTGTGGAAAGTGTGGGATATGTGACATTTCAAAGCATACGTGATCGATTATATGAAATAATTTAATCAGTGTAATTCCAAGAAAAAGGATTTCTTCAATTTTAATCGAAGAACGAACCATTTTAGAGTTATGATATTGCCGATTTTATTGTACTTCTAACAAATACTTCCTTTTTTTGTAAACCGATTAGTTTTAGAGTTATTTTTATATTATTTAGTCATTCTATTTATTTAAAGTTATGAGACCATTTGAAATTAGGTGTTTTTTAATTTACAGGCAAACATTTTAATCAAATAAAAAATGTTACTATATCCAGTATATCCAATTTCAAAATCCCTCATTTAAAATAGAAGCTTTTGAAAATAGTTTTGGAAAATATTTTATGATTCGGATAACATTTTTTTTAACACATCAAGTTCTATGAAACATTCTGCGTTGCCTTTGGATTTTTATTAGTGAAATATATGTATTTTTTTGTAGATAAATCCATTGCACACGGTGCCAGTCCTGGACGACAATGGCTTCATTGTGCAAGACAGCCACGCCATTATGGGTTATCTGATAGGAAAATATGCCAAAGACAAATCCCTATATCCTACAGATGTGGAAAAACGTGCCGTTATTGATCAAAAACTTTACTTTGATAGTGGAGTTTTATTTGCCAGGCATGTCCGTGTAGTGGTAAGAAAATGCCATTTTTGCCATTGTCTATAAGCTGTGACCTCTCATTTTCAGTATCACATTAAGAATGGGACCTAAATTTTTTTAAAAAGGTTGAAATATCATTTAATGATTTCAGTATTGTATTAATGACAAGCAAGTCTCCAGTACACATAATTCTAAGAAAAAAAAATAAATTGCACCCCCATACAACAGTTATCCACCAATAACCACCATGCTGAACCAATTTTTTGAAAAAAATTTTTGTTTACGAGTGAAGTTACCTTTATTCACCAAGAGAATTTTAATTGTTGCCACAATCATTCATGTAAAATAATCAACAAAGAAACTTTTTTAATTTAGGTGAAGTTTAATTAAACGTCTTAGTAAATGTATCGATGTAAATGGAGCGAGAGAACATCGTGAAAATATATTCCAGAGACTTTTAATGGGCATATTGTAAGCAACTTAGTCTTTATCATCTTATTTTGATCTCAAGAGTAGTAGTTGAACAAATTGACACCCTGTATAGTTCAAGATTAAACTTTTAATCCCCCAGGTATTTGTTGATGTGCAAGACGTAGTCGAACTTCACTCTCAAGACTAAACGGTTTCCCAAATAATAATATAATAATATCCCAATGCCTTATTCTATCTCAAGAATGTGCTTAGAGTTTGAAGATTTATGCAGAAAGCGGTATATTATTATTACTAAATAGGACGCATTTGCGCCCTCAAATGATTTAAACCCTAACCATCATTCGGTGCAGAAATGAAGGATACCCGAAAAAACTCGTTTATTATAAAGAGAATACAGGGTATCCCACAAGGAGGAACATATACTTTAAGGGGTCATTCTAAACAAATAAAAAATAATTTAAAAAACATCCAGATTTAGTCGCAAAACTGTCAGAAAGTTCAATCATCACTGTGCCATTTGCTCTACCATTTATTAACGGACGTATGGTTTTCGTAAGTGTGTTGCTTTGGCAAGGTGTTGGCAAACCAATTTCATTTGAGCACTGTATGGCAAGCAAAGGACGAAAAATATTTTTAAAAAATGAACCCGTATCTCGAAAATGATGCGTTTTGAGACCAAGGTTAATTTCTTGCTTATTTCAACCTGATGAATGTCCCCTTAAAGTTTTTACACTTAGGATACAATGTATAACTTGAAATACAGATTGTAATTTTAAATATGGCGTGTAGAATATACAAATCAGTTTTTTTTACTACATTAGGGTACCTACTAATTAGAATATTACGATTGAATAAAACAGAAAATCTGAGGTTTATATCATACAATTATTTGAGATTTTACATTTACTGTTAACAAATTAAATACATATTATGGAAAGGAACTTATTTCAAATGAAATAAGATAACAAAGCCACATAAAAAAAAGTTCAAAGCCAAGAAAGCCACATATCATTTCCGAAGGAATTAGATGCGCTGAAAACAATCCTATAGTCAAAATTTATGACTTCACGGAAAATTTCGAAGAAAAGAGAATTTTTTTGGTGAAAACGCCCACATATGGATCAAAACTTTGTCCAAATATATTTATCATTTTCGTAGTATTTTGAGGCGCTAAACATGCAATTAGTAAAATTTATCCATTACCTCAATTTCTCAGAAAATCCACTATTTGGATGAAAACTGACCAAATATAGTTAATTTATGAAGGAAATCCGCCAGCCGGGTTTTTTGACCTCGCTATTTTAATTGAAAATAGCACCGCTCCCAAATGAAAGTGATGCTATATCTTCACACTATTGGTTCAGCCGAGATTTATAAGAGAAACCAATAACCATCAAAATATCAAAATGCTGTAATAGTGGTTAGGTACTAAAAATGTAAATTCAATTTGGTAATTTTTGATTATGAAGCAAAAGTTGAAAGGTTTTTGAAACACTAGTTTAGGGTAACACCATAAAACAATGAGTAAGTATCCACAAAACATGCAATAGGGGTATAAGTACTACGGATAGTAAACCTAAACGTAGTAATAATGAATTTGGCGCGAAAGAAGAGCTGTCCCTATTGATCTATCTATACTGTGTAACACGTTTCATTTAGCAAACAGGATATTAAAGCGATTTAATGTTTTTTGAATAAAGCTAATATAAGATAAGACAATTTTAATTTTGTTTGTGAATTTGTGAAAAAATATTTATGCTAATGACAAAATTATTATGAATTATTTTCGCATTATCATTTTAAAGTATTTAAATTCAAATTTGGCAATGACTTCATTAAATTCATAATGCTTTAATCGTTTAATTATAGTCTAAAACCACAGATTACGTACATGTGGAAGAAATTGAAATTGATTTACATGCGGGGGTTTCTCCATATATTCTCCTCAGTGAAAATGTTACAATTCATTATAGTCATGATGGAGCTGTCGACTTCTTTTACACACCATTTTTACAAATAAGAGCCTCTAGGAAAAACCTCTTGTAGTCTTCTGTTCGTTTCGGGAAGATGAATCAGTCCCAAAAGTTTGTCACAACGTCACTGTTGTATGTCTACGTATCGGACATTTATTCGTTATAGAAGCCTTTTCGACCTACCTATTACTTTTATTAATATTATTTTTAGATGCACGTTCTGGGCGGACAAAAGACAATTCCAGAGGAATACTCATCTGCTGTCCAGGAGGCATTTGGATATCTTGACACTTTCCTTAAAGACAGCAAGTACGTAGCAGGAGAAAGTTTATCAATCGCCGATTTAAGTATAATTAACACGGTTTCAAATGCTAGAGTGCTAGTGCCCTTGGATGAAACAAAGTACCCTAACATCGCCTCATGGAGGAAAACTTTGGAAACCTTGCCTTACTATGAAATAAACACAGAGGGAAGTAATCTGTTAAAAACTATAGTTAAAAATATGTTATCTACATAAATGTTTTGTCACAACATACATTCTGGAAATTGATGAAATAAAATAATGTAAGAAAGAAGCGTGTTTGTAACCTCAGTTATTCCGTATATTCCCATCACTGCGCAAGATAAAAAAAAACTATTTTGCGTCTAATATCATCGATTATTATCTATGTCGCATGTCACTGAGTTTATGTTGGATTTTTCTACTAAAAGTTTTCGGACGTTTGTCCATGAAAAGCTTTTTGCTTAAAACGACACGGCTTATATCTCGATCAATCAAGTTACTAATTTGATGTGTCTGACGCAATACAGGGATGGACAGAAGTACGGAATAAAATTCATATCTTTTGAATTTTTTTTAAACGCCGAAATACGTTAACTGATATTGATTTTTTCCCATCTTTCGGTTATATAATAATTAATTTTTCTTCAACCCCCTAACCCCCAGCTACCCCTACTTTTTTTTTCAAATGAAAACATAAGGCATGAGGGGGCTCGTTGAAAAGCTTATAGAAAACTGAATCCAGCCATACCAAATAAAGAAGTTTTATTTTTTCAATAACAAGTTTTTTTTCATTTAGAAATTGAAACAACTAGATAATTTACAAAAATAAACTCAATGTCGCAAATGCTGAAAATGTCCTCCATTCACTATTTGGCATTCTCCAAGACGATAGTAAAAGCTGTCCCCAGCATTCGGAATGACTTCAGCTGGTAAATTATGCATCTCCGCCCTAATCTTGTTCTTTAAATTCTCAATATTATCCGGTCTGTCCTGGTAGACTCTTTCTTTCAAATATCCCCAAAGAAAATAATCCAGGGGTGTTAAGTCGGGGGATCTTGGCGGCCATTCAACTGTACCCCGTCTACCAATCCAGCGATTTGAAAACATTTCATCTAAGTGTCTTCGAACATCAATACCAAAATGTGGGGGGGCGCCATCTTGTTGGAACCAAATTCTTTCATTCGGTATATCTGGATCAATTTCATGAGGGAAAATCACAGCTAGAGCAGGTATCAGGTCAAATGTTAGGAAATCCAGGTAGCGTGCGGCAGTAAGATTTCCTTCAAAAAAGAATGGGCCCAAGATTCTGTTGTTGATGATACCTGCCCATACATTAAATTTTTGTGGATGCTGCCTATGCGATTCGCATGTCCAGTGTGGTTTTTCCAGGGACCAAAAGGGATAGTTGTGCCTGTTAACCACTCCATTTAAATAAAACGTAGCTGCATGCGAAAAAAGTACGTCTCGTTGAAAACCATTATTGTCGTCACACCGTCTCATCATTTCCTCACAAAATTGTAATCGCCTATCATAATCGTCTTTCAAAAGCTTTTGGACAAGACATGCCTTATAGGGGTGGTATTTCTCTTTTTTCAGAAACATTCGAATTGCAGTTCGAAAAGCATCGTGATTGCGAGCCAATGAAACAGTTAAAGTATGAGGATTTTCAACAAGTTCTAATGCAAGTCCACTTTTGAGCAAAGTCTGTACTGTACCGTGTTCCTCAAATTTGTGAAATATTTTACTAACTGTCCCTTGCGAGATTTGGTTTTCGGAATATTTCGCATTAAATAAATCGCGCACTTCAGTCTGACTTCTTATTTTGTCTCCACATCCAAGCAATATCAATATTTCGATGCGTTGCCTTTCCGACAATACCATTGCAATTCAGTAAATAACTTGATTTTGACACAATAGTAACGTTTCGAACTCCAATTTACAATTAAAGCGAAAAATTAACCAGAAAGCCTGGCAAGTAAGTGGTGCCAAAAAAACGCAACATAAAAAATATATCTTTTTTTGCGTTAGCAGTGATAGGTACAGTTTCAAATTCTTTATTTTATTGTGTGCAAATTCATGGAGGATAACATTGAAGATAATTAAATTTTATTTCACTTGTTAAGTAGGTGTTTTATACAACCCTAAAAACCCTGCTATTGGATTCGGTTTTCTATAAGCTTTTCAACGAGCCCCCTCATGCCTTATGTTTCCATTTGAAAAAAAAGTAGGGGTAGCTGGGGGTTAGGGGGTTGACGAAAAATTAATTATTATATAACCGAAAGATGGGAAAAAATGAAAATCAGTTAACGTGTTTCGGCGTTTTAAAAAAAATTAACTCATTCAAAAGATATGAATTTTATTCCGTACTTCTGACCATCTCTGTATATCGCAACTAAATTAGATGGCGGTGGTCAGGTAGATGTCTTCTATACTGATTTCTCAAAAGCATTGGTATTCTATTGTCGAAATTATTAAACTTTACTAAACTATTTTTGTTAGCTTTTTCACCTCATATCTCTCTCAAAGGAAATTGACAGTAGAGTATCGTGGTTTCCAATCAAGAGAAATAAATGCCATATCTCTGCGGTCCCTCAAGGATTGGTTCTCAGTCCGCTATTATTTCTAGTCTTTATTAATGACATTGTCCGGAACCTAAATTGCGAGGCACTTTTATGCAGATAATCTCAAATTGTATGGGTCTATGTCAGACATTAATGATTGTGGCAAGCTTCAATCTAACCTGGACAAAATTTCTGATTGGTGCTCTGAAAATATATTACCTCTGAACTTCTCTAAGTGCAATTTTACGAGTTTCACGAGCAAAGTAATTCCTAATACTTTTAATTACGATACGTGAGGCATATAAAAATCTCAGCTTTATTCTAAGAAACTCAAGACAATTTTCTGAAACTTATACTACTTCCTTGCTGTTCAACGCATTCGTTTTGTCGAAACTAGAATGCGGGTCACTGCTATGGTGCCCCACCTATGAAATCCTTGTTATACGGGGTGTCCCTAAAAAGGATGGACAACGCTTGACCACAGGTTCCTTGGATGAAAACAAGACTATTTAACCTAACTTACCTACATACAAAAGTGCACGCCTACTGAGATATAGCCTTCTAAATATAGAACAGATAACCTAGTTTTTTTCAAATAATTTGAAAACTGTTTTCTTAGAAACTTCAAATTTGGTACACATATTTTTTTTATATAAGGGCAATGTAAATATAGAATTTGGTGAGAATACATATACAGGATGTTCTCTTTCTAGTGTCTGTGCGCCACTGGCTATCCCGTAACTTTTTTGTATGTACGCCAATGACGATAGAATTTATATTTTTAAAAATAAGCACTATTTTAGAAGATTTTTTTGCTCTTACAAAATTTTGATATCGTTTATGGATTTCGAGTTAAATTGGCATTTTTTACACATTAAATAATATAAAATCAGTTTAAGATAAATAGAACATTCTAGTACGAGGTACCATATAACAGAGAAACAAATTCATAACAATAATTAAAAGGTTCTGTGTCAAGCTAGCTGTGATTTAATTTTAGCTTACTTTGTTTTTTATTGCAATTTATACTTTTGCTGAACAAACTGATATGTTAGTAGTTTTGGGTTATTGTGAAGGAAATTGTTGTGCTACTGTTCGAACATATGCTGAAAGATTTCCTAATCGAAGAACTCCAAATCACAAAACATTTGCTAATGCGGAGAGACGCCTTCGGGAAACAGGACGTTTTTTACCTGTAACATTAAATCGTGGATAATGTACGGCCGGAATTATTCAGCTGGAGGAACAAATTTTGGAAAGGGTCGAAGAAATTCCTCAAGTAAATAAAAGGCGTTTAGCGGCAGAGGTTGGCTTTCAAAAAGTTCCTTTAATAGAGTATTAAAAGACCAGTTATTACAGGTTACAGGTATTACAGGGTACAGGTAGGTATTACAGGTTATTAAAGGTCTAACAGGTGGATAGGTAGAGGAAATAATGCCCCTTTAAAATGGCCACCTCGATCCCCGGACCTAAACCCATGTAATTATTTCATTTGGGGAGCGTTGAGGACCACAGTTTAAAATAACTTTTCAGTAAATACAGAAAACGAATATGGGAAAGAATACAACATGAAATTAATGTTATGAGAGGTAATGCACAATTATTGGATAATTTCTAATTTTCGAAGAACTAATGTTTGCGTTTAAGAACAAGAAAGTAACTTTGAGCATTTACTGTAATATTATTTTAATGTGATTACAAATATCAGATCATTTAAAATGTTAACTTTCTTACATTCTTACATTATTAGTTGATATTGTTTATTAAAAAAATATTAGTGTTGATTTTTATTTTATTGATTGATAATAGCATCTAATACCAAAAATGTGTAGTTACTTTTTTCAATGTGACGTTTTTTCATTATTATTCCCTGCTTTGAGGCTGTAGTTATAAATTATTTTTTATAAATCGGAATTTTTGCCTACATTTAATTAATGTATAAAAAATGTGAATTTTACTCGAAATCCATACGATATCAAAATTTTGCCAGAGCAAAAAAATCTTCTAAAATAGTGCTTACAAATATAAATTCTGTCGTCATTGGCATACACACAAAAAAGTTACGGGATAGCCAGTGGCGCACAGACACTAGAAATAGAACATCCTGTATATGTATTCTCTCCAAATTCTATATTTACCTTGCTCTTATATAAAAAAATAAGTATACCAAATTTGATGTTTCTAAGAAAAATAGTTTTCAAATTATTTGAAAAAAATAGGTTATCTATTCTGTATTTAGAAGGCTATATCTCAGTAGGCGTGCACTTTTGTATATAGATAAGTTAGGCTAAATAGTCTTATTTTCATACAAGGAACCTGTAGTCAAGCGTTGTCCATCCTTTTCAGGGACACCCCGTATAGTAAATATGTTAAATACCTATGGTTCAAACTGGACAACACATCCACCTCAAGGGGTACCACAAAACACTTTATTAAGTCGGTTCCATCTGAAACGACGTATGTGTACTCATAATTCATTGATCATTCTACATAAAATTGTAACCGGAAAAATCGATTGTCCAGACTTACTAGCTGCATTTATTAAAACAAAATGCAAGTGTCCAAAGTGCGTCTTAGGTCAAAGAAAACCAAATTACAGCGTGGACAGTGTCTTTAGTGGCTAAGATTAAAGGGAAACGTTTGAGACACTTGTGAACCCCCTCGCATTGGCGAGTAGGTGACTGACGTCCCAGCACCGCAGGTCAAGCGGACCCAGACAGAAACGCTCAATCTAAACCCACTATGAATGTTTACGACCCTCTCAATATTCCAAGGGAAGATGAATAAAATCTGTCGTGGCGCTCAACGTGGGACTATGACAGAAGATAGATAAACAGAATTAGTTATTTTCATTTATGTATCTTTATTTATTACTCTCTAAATTTTATGTTAAATGACTTGCTACTATTTTCTAGTTTATTTTATTTAAATGAATTAAATTTTTGTCTAGGTGGGATAAGCCTACCCTTAAAATTTCCTGTCTTTCTCTAAAATCATGAGATTTGACAATGAATGCCGTAGTACCGGAGTGTGTATGCGCATGCGGCTATCTGCGGGGTTGTTCGAAGTCACACTAACCTGCCCAACGACGGTATGAAAATTACGAAAAAAAGGGTTAAAAAAATTAGTTTTCACAACGGAATTTGAAGACAACTTATGTGTTTCTAAAGGTCAAAAGTAACCTCCATATAAATAAAAACCCCATTCAAAGTTAAATCTTGTATAAATAGGAAATACTTTTCAATTATTTTACTTTTTCTTTTTCTCTTCTGCTTTCTCTTCGTTTGCCTTACTAGCTAATTAAAATTTTTAGTTAACTATACAGGGCGTCCGCAAATTTGTGATTTATGGATTTCTTTTTGTGGGGACACATCGACGCTTTAGTGCATACAAAAACATGCTATCTCAGATTTCGGTTGGAAACATGCTAACTCAGATCTTTAAGTAAAAATATGCTATCTCAGTTTGACTAGAAATTTAAGTTGGCACATTGAACGATTGAAACCGTGCATTTATTAATAAACTTATATAATATATTTTTCAAAAAGTAAGGAATATTTATGTTTAGGTACACCGTTTATTCTATTTTTTTTATTCGGCATTTTTCAATTAATTTTGTTAAGTTACTATAAACGACAAAATTGTTAATTAAAAAAATATAATAATGTTCAGTATGCTGCAAAGCCTGAAAGTGGTCAGTTTAATTGTTATTAACAAATTAAATGTTGGCTGTAAAAAGTTTATTTTTATAGCTAGTACATGGAACTTGATCTGGCTCCTAGACTTATACGAACTGTAGTAGGATCGTATTCCATGCAAAGTAGAGCAAAAAGTTGTCGGTCTTTTATCAAAGGAAAATCGTGTCATCAAATTGAATAGGTATGATTGTTTTCGAATGTACGGTTATTACAATTTATCATTTTTAATATTACTAACGTTTTCACATTTTATAATTTATTATGTTAAATAATACAGTTTTAGTATTTCAATTTATTATTCAATATGCAGTTGCGTATAACCAAAGTTTACATAATAAATGTAAACTTTAGTGTAAATCTAAACTTTGGTGTAACCTAGGTAGGCACTTATTGTTTTTGAGAAAGCAATACTTATGTTTTTTACCTGTTTAAAATGCCAGCACTAGTAAAACAGCATTCATCCGTCCAGAGCACTTTGTTAATAAAGTTCTGCTGTACTTAGGAACCAATTGCAAAATTCAAGACGATTGGGGAAATCAGCTGCTTCTAAGGCTTGAACTTTTTGAAAATGTGTTATGTTAACTCCTTTGCGGGAAAAATGCGGGAGATATGGAGGGTGGTAGATTTGAATAAACGCTTTAAATTTTTAGGTAATGGTTTTCTAACAGTGTGTAGTGTATTTTGTATATTCGGGTATTTAGTGTGCCGACTTTTTTATTTGATAAAATACGGTGTGCCTACAAACCTCTGCTTTATTTATTTTCTTTTAACGAAAGTTGACTTCGAGAAGTCAGACTTGTTAAAACATTTTGCACTAAATTATTAAAATTAGTTATAATAAAATGCAGCATGATCCTTTATTTACTTGCATTTTATTGGTTTCGTACATACAGGTTAGGAAAGTACCGATGGTCCATCTGCCGTTACGTGAGAGTGATAAAGTCAGACATAGAAATCCATGCGATAGAGGATGGCTAAAATAAAGGCGTCTCATAGTCACCGCCCGTTTCGCCCTTCCACAAATAAGATCCACTTCAGATTTGTGGAAGGGCGAAATGGGCGGTGACTATTAGACGCCTTCATTATAGCCATCTTTCTCTATCGCACGGATTTATATAACTTACTTTATTGCTCTCACGTAACGGCAGATGGACCATCGGTACTTTCCGACCCTGTATGTATCTGTATACTAAAGCGGATTAATTAAATGTGAACCACAGATTATGATGTGAACTTGGCAACGCTGTTTGCTTCAGCTGACGATTTGTTCGTGACGTTACGTTACAAAATTTTCCGAGCATCCAGGCATCTGGCAGGGCTGCCCTCTTAGCGGGAGTTATGGGTTGATTTCCTCAATTTTTAAGTCAAGTAATAAATTTTTTTTTCAGATTTTCTTCGTTTATTAAGCCTTCCGAATACGTGGTTAAAATTAATGACATTATGACTGAACCACCCTGTATAACGTCGTAGGTCTTGCACTATTTTTTTGCCATTTGTTCCGCATCACGATATTAAAAGAAGAAAAAAGAAAAAAAGTGAAACAGTGATATCTGTGGATAAAAAGATATAATTGTTCTTGTCAAAACATTAAATCGAGATATATAAAATATCTGTGCCTCTGGCAGCATTTACATAGGTATTTATCTCACCGATTTCTAAGATACAATTTTTTAAATCTAAATAATCCAGAGTAGAGTTAAAATAAAATGAACCGCTAGTCCTTCGTCTAGAGTCTAGAGAATTAAACATGTAATTTAGATTAGTTTCGACACAAAACCTAAATACTTACTGAAAATTTCATTAACAAATTTAAAAATGTTTATTTTCAAACTTAGAACAAAGCAACAAAGTACATATTCAAATACGATGTGATAAACGTAGATCGGCGATTCTAATTTAAAAAAATTAGAAGCGTTATCACATTCCGTTCTTCATTTTCCGTGAAACAAAAAAAAAATAGTTGTTTCTTACAAAATAAAAACAATTATCCATATCATCAACATATATAACTTATAAATATTTATAAATTAAAACTACAATTTATCTAACATAGTTTTTGCAGTAATCGATACAATACCCCTCAATAGTTCGTTTTCAACAAATTTATCATTAACACACAAACATATTCCCCGCTGTACTGGAAAATCCCCCCCCGCCGCACCCGGGCGGAGGCGGTTCGTCGTTTCTATTCTGCCTGTTGTACATCTTAAGCGACTGTTTTCTCTTCTCGGAATCGTACTCCGACTCGTCCTTCTTAAGAGTCGACTGCAATCTATTAGACAGTACCGCGCACGGCAAGTTTTCCGGCTCCGCGTTGTCCTGTCTGCCATAAAACAGGATGTAAGGTGTTTCCGGCGGTTTCAGCCTGGACGGGTCGTCCGATCTCGCCTTCATCACGGAACCGTCGTTAAACTTGTACCAGTCGGATTTATCCTTAGCGAACGTGTAATAATGACCCGAATCTACGCTGGACCCGCAATGTACCACGACTGCGTACAACTCGTACTCGTAGTCCCCCAAGGCAAAGCGTTCGTCGAGCTCGACTCGTTGCAGGAGTTTTGTGCGTTGCTGCGAGGCGGGGTCGTACCGGAAGTGTTTTAAAGTTAGGATTAATCTAGGTGGGGCCTCTACGATTCTGGTGATTCTCTCCCCGTCGGTCAACGTAGTACATATATCACAGTGGTACTGGTTATCACCATGTAGTTTCTCGGGTTGTAGGTAATACTGCAACAGCTTCTGCACAGACTGATTGTCAGAGTTGTTGGGGAACGAGAGCTGCAGCTCCCTGAAATTGTCGGCCCGTTCGCTTTTCGTGGAGCACACGTCACACCTTGAAACTGTGATGGTCCTCCCGCCGAATGACTGCTGGACTACGGTTTGCACGTCGGTGACCGCAACTGCTCCTATATTGGAAAGAAAAACCATACAGAATATACTTTTATAACCTCTTCGACGGTAAATAAAAGAAACAGCTTGCAAATCTGAGACGACATGTTCGCAATAAAATTTACTATAATTCAGAGGAAAATTACATTTTGAAGTGTCCGAAATGTTGACTATGACTAAATCAATGTGAATTGTATTTTACCTAACCAATATTTTGCATTTTAATGTTAATAATACTTAAACGTATCATTTTCGATTTTTATTTAAGAGAGCTCTATAGCAAATAGGCAACCAGCAATACATCTTTATAGATTTTATTACACAGTTTGTCTAAACATGAATTAATCCACAAAAAAACACTTTCCTCCATTTTAAGGCAGAATTTCTATAAAATGGACTTCGTGTGAAACTCAAATAACTTTTTGGTGAAAAGAAATTTATAATTTACGATGCCGCTTGTTCAAATTCGGCAAATTACAAATTTCTTTATAATAACAAAAAGTAATTTAAATTTCAAACAACTCCATTTTATAGAAAATCTGCGTTAGAATGGAGGGAAGTCTGTTATTTGTGCATTGATTCATATTTAAACAAACTGTAATAAAATCTATAAAAATATATTATGGTTGCTATTTACTATAAAGTCCTCTTAACATAAATATTAATTATTACCTGTTTACTGTTATTGCTGGTATAATTCAACGCTAGTTGGGGCATGTTGCCCACAGAATAGTTTCCTGCAGTATCAACAGTTAGAACTTATATGTGAGGTTAGATATCTTTTGGTACAAATACTTAAAAAAGTCTTTTGGAGACTCCAATGTTATGTTTAAAGCTAACATGTTTTAGTAAGACAATAATAAAACAAGTAGATCCATCCAGGAATGACGAAGCGTCATGCTAGACTAGAGCAACTTCCTTTAACTTTTCGCATTGAAAGATCACATGTAAACATCAGAAATTTACCTTTCTTCTTTTGTCCAGCAAAGTAAAGACACTCAATAATTGTGATTAATGTGTGTGTTAATATTTTCCTAAAAGGATTCTGTGGGATGTGATTAAGTTTATAGTACCGTACGCAATTTTCTGTATGTTCAACATTCAGGAAACGTAAGATAAACATACGAGGTAAAATATGCTTTTATTTCCTTATTTTGAATGTATTGACAATGACAGTTGTCTTATATCCTGAAGAAAACTTACATACCTCGTACAGTGAAGAGACATTGTTTCTAACTTGCTTAGATTTTCTAAAATGCTGGACAAAAAATTGCACATATACATTGTCCCAGAATAACGTGTACAATGGAAGACCACAGATTCTTGTACTCCAAATAGGCAGATTTATTTACAAAATTCAAAAAAATTTCACGAACTTAGAGGCCATCTAGCGATCAAACGGAGCGATTTCGGATATAGGTGAATTAGCCTAGATCTGCCTATTTTGACTCTACAAATCTGTGGTCCTCTGTTGTACACGTTATTCTGGGACACCCTGTATAAGCCCGCCCTCCTTAAAACATTTGTGGAATGCACGAATTATCTTGCAATTTATGCAAATGCAGCTTAAAATTTAAGTAATGTCATGCAATCAGTCCTAATGAGAGATATTATAGAAACTTTTAAGATGGTTGTAAATAAGGAATTAAAAAATTATCTCATTTCACATCGGCTAGATGACTTAGGCATTTTTATGGTTCTCCTAATTCTCACAATTAAGCCAATGTTTAGCAAATGATCCATTTTTCTCAAATCGGAATTTCTAAGTCATAAAATTATTTTCCTCTTCAACTATTACATGACACTCAAATGTTAAATATTTTAGCTTGAAAAAACGTTCATGATGCTAAGTTAAAATATTAAAACATTTTAAATAAATCACCCAATATCTTATAATATTTTTCAATTTCACTATATATATCATACAGGGTGTCCAGAAATTATAACCAAAAAATTTTGTAGCAAAATAATACAATAAAAAAAAATAGTGGCGTAAGTTTCTACAACAATTTTTCGAAAACTTTTTTTAATATTGTGCTCATGGTTTCTGGACAGCCGATATTAATAGCAATTTACATATTTCTGAGAATCCCTCTATCAGAGAAGGCGAAGAGAGGACAATAGATATTTTACTTACTACAATCCATAAATAATTTTTATCTACATTTTTATACCTACAACCCTACAAGTATGCCACATTTTACAGGTGCACAAGTATAATAATTCAAATATTTCATGTTTATGTATTCTAAAAATGTACATATTGTACAGTTTTTCACAAAATAACTTTATTTTATAATAAAACAATACAACAATGACCAAATTATCTCAACACAACACCTCGTCAGTCGCCTGTGGTCATTCTCTCTCTCTCTCCCGTGTCCCTGCCTTTCAGTCTGAATTTCTGCGCTTTGGCCTTCACTTCTTATCGTTGTTTTATAAACAACGGCCCCAGTTGAAATAATACCCCAACAATATTTAGATTATTACAAAACTCAAAATTAAGCCTTACGTTGACAATTTTTTAAAAACTAGATTTAGATTTTTTCTTATTGAAAATCAATTATCGAATGTTATTCTACACTACTTAACCATTAATGTACGAAAATGTGTAAGTTTTCGCTCAAAAGCACAAATTACCATTATTATTTTCACATTAACCCGAAAAGAATTAAACAAATAAAAATTAAAAGAATTTCTGTGGATACAGAATAATTATATACCTAATGTAGACTATACAAGTCCTACTAGATTTCAAATAAAAAATTTCTAATCCAATTTTTCAAAAATTCTTACTTAAAAAATTCATAGCAAGTTCACAATTTGCAATTTTCGAATTTTGGATCTACTTTTAAAAAAATTAACTTGTTCTTTACTTATTTTGATAATAATCTTTACAAATATAAATAGGACACTTATTTATACTCTATTTTACCTATAACTTGCTCGTAATAATTTTAATAATGAGAAAAATAATATTGTTCTTTTTCATAAAATTAAAGCGATATGTCAAAGAAATATTTTAAAAATTTATTTCAAAACTGAAAGTAAACCCCTGGTTTGTATTTTATTTTACCTTTTCTGAATAAAAACTAATCGATCATTAAAAGTGGAATCCTACTAACTAAAAATCCGCTGAATTTTATAATAGTTGCAATTTTTATTTGAACAAAATAGAACATTTCAAATTTGATACGATTTTATCTCACTTTGGTAAAACCCCCCAACATAATAAATTTATTATCTTATCTTGTCCGAGTCTCTTACTGTTAATATCTAAAAATACTACTTACTGTAAACAAAAAACAACGCAACACACAAGACTTTATCTAAAATGTGGTTAAATTCAAATATTCAACGGTAAACAACTAAAATAGACTGAATTTCAGAATTAAGAGAGTGTCCGTATTTGAGGCTTGAAAAACACATCTTGATAGCAATAAATAACAATAATATTCAACTTAGGATCACGATATAATTTCATACTTCAAAAAATTATTGAGTAGTGATTGAAATTTTTACATAAACTTCAATAATTTATTTGTACAGGATGTCCCGAAATACATGCAACAATATTTGGTCATAGATTCTTAAGAGAAACTTAGGGGACCCATATTTTTTCCTTTTGCCAACTGGCCCCCTCTTTCGGAGTTACAGCCCCCTGAAATCGGCCCTAAGAAGTCTTTTTTATGTCTCAAAACCATGCTGTACAAGAATCACAAAATTTGGTACACAGGGGTTTTATGACATGTGGAATCTCACAGTGCTATGCCTTTTGGCGAGAAACCCCCTTAAGACACTTTTTCGTGGGCCCCCTTGTCTTTGGAACCAGAAAAATTTGGTTGCAAATTTGATTTTTTTTTTAAATTATTAGTTAGCTAGAGAGCCATCGAATTTAGAAACTTTTTTTTCTCTCGATATTTGTTTCGTAAAACGCAATGTTTTTGAGGAAAATGGCGAATCGCGATATGCATTCGATAACATTTTGACATTTTTCTCAAGAACATTGCATTTTACAAAAAAGTAAAAAGAGGCAAAAAGTTTCTAAATTTAATTGCTTTCTAGTGGACTGATATTTTTTAAGAAATTTAAATATGCGACCAAATATTTTTGGCTCCAAAGACAAGGGGGCCCAAGAAAAATTGTCTTAAGGGGGTTCCCCGCCAAAAAACGTAGCACCATCAGATTCCACGTCATAAACCCTCTGTGTAGCAAATTTAGTGATTCTCGTACAACAGGGTTCTGAGATATAAAAAGATTATTCTTAGGGGCAGACTTCAGGGGGCTGTAACTCCGAAAGAGGGGGGGGGGGGCACTTGGTAAAAATAAAAAATACGGGTCCCCTAAATTTGTCTTAAGAATCTGTGACCAAATTTTGTTGCATGAATTTCGGAACACCCTGTACAGCAAGTAAAGACCTTTAACAAAGATGAAAGCATGGACTTGAAATTTGATAATTTTATCTATTATTTGCAAAAAATAAACTTGGACCACAGAAAAAAATTTGCTCGTTAAACTTACTTACAATCCATATATTTGTTGAGATAGGATTCCAAGAAGACCCCCGCACCATTTACTTTGTATTAACCGCATTCGACACCCAAGGTAGAAAGATATTGGCCGTGTGGTGTTCACCGTTCATCCGAATTTAAAAACAACTTAACAAAGAAAAATATTTTATTTAATTTCTATCTCAAGAAATATCGTATGGACTGTAGCAATTTTGCATGGATCAAATTTCAAGTTGACGGTTGTAGATCAGCTATTAAATATTTAAAATTACCAACAAAATAAATTACCTCGACCACATTCCACAAGCTCCTTTTATAAAAAATTCATATTTACCTTCGGAACTGCTGGAAGCTGTAGAAACATTCTTCTCTTGCTCGTGTAAGGTGTCCAATAAATATCCAAGAAACTCTGAACTGTCATGCTGATGCCCCAGCAAAAATCCAGGTGGTCTCGACAAGTTTAATATATCGGTGGGCGACAAAGAGAATTTCTTCGAGAATTGCAAAAGAGCGAACAGAACCTGTAGTTTCGAGAAGAGCGGCATCATCTCTTTGTGGTGCAACAGAACGTCGTTTCGGAACTTTTTCGTCATGAACAACGCCTGCAACACGCTGTTCATGTAGCAAGTATTCCCCAAATTATTCAACCCCACCTTTCCGACGGAATACCTACTGGGAATAATCGCGTTAGTACCATCAGACCAAGATTTGCAGTGCAAAGTTTGTTTGTAATTGGAATCGGGGCAGTAGGGCTGCAAGGTTTGCGTTAAGGGCTCGTAGATATTCGGGAATCCCGGAAAGTGCTCCATTAAAGCTATACACAAATTTACAATTGCTTGCAAGTACAACAAACTGGTTTCCGTTTTCTGGGTGTCCAACTGCTTGCAAACAACGTTTACCAAGGGAATAATTTTATGAAATATCTGCGGGCTGTGCTGCACTCTCGACAACATGTAAAGTACAACAGGCCCGACACTTTTACGGCTTTTGGGCAATATTAAAAGCTTAAATAGTGTATCTACATTGGCTAAAGTCACGTCCATCAAGATATCATAGTGGTGCTCCGCCTCTAGGCCTTTCATAAAAGCTAAGACTAGAGGGCCCAAATTGTCGGTCCACAGCCATTTAGTCAACCAGTTACACAACGTACGTAATGCCCTTTCAAGGCTCTGCTCTGGATAGCCAGTGTTTAGAATATATTTCACTGCGTTCGGAATATCATCTTCGTCGATTAGTTTCAAAACGATCGACATGACTGGAGAAAGGTGTTTGTTAGGATTGGATATTTCATCGTACAGAGCCTTTAAAGCAGCAAACACTTGCTTTTGACTTGAGCACTCTTTAGCTAAAATATTTTGAACACTCTTAATATCTTCTATGAATTTCATATAACTGGTTTCATCTGTCGGTACTGGGACAGTACCAAGGCTTATTACCACATGTGCCCATACTTTATCGTGTAATTCATCCTGTGCAGATGATATACCCTGCAGCGCCCTGAGAATGATCTGCAAGCGTGCTTCATTTGACGGGTCGACACATTCGACAACTTTCTGTTTAACAGCCATCTTTCACCTATAATGAGACAGAACTTCATCATACCACACTGCATATATCCAAAAAATATAACGTGCAAAATAATTAACTTACAGCAAACTAAAATATGAACATAGATAACTTTAAAAAATTTAACCTCAAAATTGAAAATTGATCAGCGTCTCATCTGGATGGTGTTTATTAATAATTTGAATAATATTCTGATACTAGTTACAATTCAGGAGCATACAATTATAAACATATAAGGTATTTTTCTTTTGCAAGTCTGTAAATCTTTGATTATTGATATTGTTGCCAGTACGGTACACCAATGCACCTTGCACAGATGAAGAATACAAATAAGGTTAAGGACTCAACATGCTAGTGATGGCAAACAGTAAAATTAGCCTCAAAACCAATCACTAAAATCATATGGAAAAACTTTATCCTAGATTAAAAAGTTGTACTTTACATATTAATTTACAGTTGTACACTTATACTTCAGAGTGGTTAATCCTGTCTTATGCTTGTTTTATGGCTTTAATAAAGTAATAAATAAGTCAAGTGAAATAGTGCATAATGCATGGTAAATAAACAGTACTGTTTTATTGAAAAGCGCTATTGCTTAGCAGACATAAACCATTAACATAGAGATGATTTGCTTACCTTTTGGTTTTTACTCCAATAAGAAAACGCCAACCTTCAAAACAGATATCTGAAACGGAAATGAAAATTTATATTAGATTTTCTAGATTTTCCACAGATACTCTTAGTGCATTTAAAACAATGACTCAGTAATTGCTGACAGCATTTTAAGCAATGCTGCTTCTAAAAATATCATTTTGACATTAAAAACAATACACAAAAATAGAATAGAGATAGAGAGCTGCGTACAAATTAAAATGTATTGGGATTAGTGATTAAAAAATAGGTACAGTTTATTTTGTATAACCTTACCTTGTCTGGGTCTGGGAACAGGTACGTCATTAAATAACAAATTCGATGTCAATCGGGCGATAAGTCACACTTCGTGACGATCTAAATTTATACACACATCATTTAGGTTTTCCATGCACATGCTTAAATTAACTATACGAAAATTTAAATAACTTTGATAACATTACCGCAAAAGAAACAAAACAAAAACCAAAAAGTTCGCCTCTCTCTATTGAAAAGTGCAAATGAATTCAAGGTAAAGAATGGACAAGAGCGCATGCTTTGTTTTTGGCGGTCAACTTTTATGGGTGGTTCACAATATCGTAGCGACGACAAAACTTCGAATCGACACGCATGAGAAACGTCTATGTTGAATTCACGGAATTAAAGCAGTGTTTTATTAACCAAAGATCTCAGCTAATCTCAGTTATTCTGAATGCTGATTAATCAATTATAACATTAGGATTAGAACTATTTTACCATTAGAGACAGTTTATTTTTTGGTCGTTTGTCGTAAATAAATTTTCATTTGTAAACAATAGTGCTGCTTTCCTATTGGTCGCTTCAAATTCAGCGTATTGTAGACGTAGGTTTGTGGACGTAAAATTAGTCAAAATACTTTAATAGCTTTGTTCCAAGTGCATTAGAATTAGTTTCCAACAGTCCGACGCAATCGCATTTGATTCAAAACAATGAATTTTGAACCTTATGTAAGCATTATATAGATATGCGCATGCGTCTGACTGTTGGAAACTGTTTTGGATTCTACTAGGAACAAAGCGAATATCTTCAGGATTTACAGTTTATTTACAGTTTGTTTTTGACAAAAATACTAGTAGCAAACAAACTGTGCCATTATAGGTATATAAGAAATTCTGTAGATATATGCTTATATATTTCCTACTCCAATTTACCATTAATTAATATTTTATAAACATTTTTATGAAAAAAAACAAACATTTTTTTAGTTTTTTGCTTATAAAACCTGAACTAACGCAGCAATCTGAATTCTATAAAGAGACAATTTGTAGAGAATCAAAATATGAATAAAACGTGAGGTCGATCGATCCAATCGGATAATTAGAAAAAAAAAAAGCCCGGAAAATTCGGAAAATTTAGCTTTTTTTTAAATTCATTACTCCGCCATTTTTTAAGTTGTAGAGCTGACCCTGTGCACAAAAGTAGTGAATTATATGTACTTTAAGTGTGCACAAAGTAGGCGTTGTCGGACCATTAGTTTTGGCAGAATTGCAATTTAAATTTTTTGGTGCACACTATTTTGCAGTTTCTGGATGCGTTGGAAGTGGTCCGATTTTAATTTTTCAGTCGTATTTTAAAAGTAGAAGTATAATAAGTACTACAAAACGAATATTATATATAATTTTCCGATATAATGACGCAAAATAGGTGAAAAATTCCTCCAAACATGCTCACGAAAACGAGCGCGCGTACGCGGTCGACTAGTGGGGGAAGGTCGGGAGATGAGGGGCAATTTGAAATACAAAAAAGTGTAAAGAAACAAAAAGTGAAGATAATAAAATGGCGCAAATGATGACCTATTTTATTTGTAATATTATACAGTGATAGTTATACAGGTGATATTTTTTTTGCAGATAATGATCGATGATATTCACACCTCCACCACTGGTAAAGCTGGTAATTTTTTGTTTCATACCTACTGTCATACTAAATATGCACACCGAATTTGGCTAAATTATCTGAAGCGGTTTAGAAATTAAAAATTAAAAACAATTTTTTTTTAATTTTTGAGAAATTTTAAAATTTTAAACTATTATCGATATACTGTTAGACGTGATACTGATACGTTTGATTTTACTGCTGTTTCCGAAATGGAAGTTCAAACAATTAGGTATAATATTAAATCAAATGCAACAGGCTCTGACGGTCTTAACATAAAAATGTTGGTATCGTGTTGCCCATTTCTGTTACCATTCGTTACACATGTTGTCAATTATTGTTTGCAAAACATTACCTTTCCTGATTCTTGGAAATTTGCCATTGTTCAACCAATACCTGAAAGTAGTTATCCAAAAGAGTTCAAGGATTTAAGGCCTATTAGCATTTTGCCAACACTTTCAAAAATTTTGGATCGTATAGTAGATAGACAGTTACGTAGTTTTTCAACTTATCATAACATTTTACCCATTGTCCAATCTGGTTTCCGTCCGAAACATAGTTGTGAAACAGCTTTTATTGCATATTACAGATGACATTATGAGAAATGTGGAGAATAGAGATATGACTGCACTAGTTTTAATCGATTTTACTAAAGCATTTGATACTATCAATCATCAGATTTTACTAGCAATTTTACATTTCGTTGGATCAAGTGACAATGCCATTGATTTTTTTTTTAGTAATTATTTAAATAATAGAAAACAAAGTGTTAGAATTAATGATAGAGAATCTGCTCCCCTTAAGATTACTTCAGGTGTTCCCCAGGGATCGATTTTAGGCCCTCTTCTTTACATTTTATACACTTCTAATTTTGTTAATAAAGTAAAAAAAGACAAACATTCATTTTTATGCTGATGACACTCGGTTGCATTATGCTTTTTCAACTTATAATTTAGATTTTAGATGATGCAATTAAGACTATTAATACTGATATATTAAATTTAATTGAAATGACTAAAAAACATTCTTTATATGTATTAATGCTGCTAAAACTAAAATTATGTTATTTGGCCCTCCGAAATATAGAAAAAATATATCTAACTTTTCCTTAATTCTTGATGGACAACAAATCTTTTCCACTGAGGAGGCTAAAAATTTAGGTCTTATACTTGACTCGAATCTGAGATTTAAATCACATATTAGCAACTGCATTCGCAAGGCTTATTGTAATCTTAAATTAATTTATAATAGTAGACAGTTTTTATTTAAGAAAGTTAAATTAGTTTTATGCGAGTCGTTGGTTTTATTTCAATTTAATTTTAGGGATTCAGTTTATGGTCCATGTATTGATGCTGTTGACTCCAAGTGAATTCAGTTAGTGCAGAACTCTTGCTTGAGATTAATTTTAGAATCAGAAGACGTCAACACATTTCTTATAAATTATCTGAAGTTGGTTGGCTGAATATGCATAATCGTCGTTTTTTGCACAGTGCTTGTCTATTTCACAGAATTATTTTGTATAGGGCACCACCTTATCTTTACAATAAAATATCATTTAGAACTGATGTTCATAATGTTAATATTCGCTTTAAGGGTAAGGGTACTCTGATTCCTCCTCTACACCATATCCAGTTTTTTAAATGGTCATTTTCTTACCAGATTACTAAAGTTTATAACTCGTTAAATCATAATATTAAAACATACAGCATTTGTTAGTTCAAAAAAAAAATTAAGTTGAAACTTCTTTCTGATCTGGGTAGAAATAATTAAGTATAAATGCGAGTATATTAATCTTCCAACTAAGTGTTTTATTACTTAAATAAGTATTGATTGATAATATCATATTGTTTGGTCCAGCTTAGGAGTAATACCAGAGGCTGTGTTTTAACTGGTTCAGTCACCGGTTCCTCGGCTTTTTTCCTAATTGTATGCTTTTTTATACCCATGTTTTTTTTTGTATTGCTGTTATCTATTATGAAAAAAATAAAGACTTTTATTATTATTATTATTATTATTACTATTATAATGTCATGACATACCTAATTTAAATGTGTGTATACTAATTACTAATAAATATGCTGTTTGTAGAAGACAGTAAGAAAAGTATTTGTAAAGAACTTCTATAAGCCATTTAAATTTACCGCTCGATTTAGTTCTTATGTCAACGAGAGATGGCGGAGTATTGTGCGTAGGCAATTAGCGTTCTACATATATCATGGGTTATTCTAGGACTTTATTATTTGTTATGTCACCCGTAGTATGTGGGATTCTTGTTAAAGTTCCATTCCATCATTATGATACCTACACATATTAAGAATTGTAGTCTCCAATCTTAATCGCGTATGTTTAGAAATAAGTACAAACACAGAAATATATGTGGCTTTATTGTAGCTTTATACACATTCATATTAATACATGTGCAATTTAGCTTATTGCAAATATTAATACCTAATAATACAATATACCTACTTAAACTACTTCATAAAACAAACGGATTTCTACTTCCAATGGACAGGGAGAGGATAATGTGCCGCATTTAAGTAAAAAAAAAACAGTTTTTCAGTTTACAATAACTACGGAATGTGTCTTAATCATAGTTGTAACAATTTTTAGAAATGAATAAACAAGCCGAAAGGTGATTAAAATGTTTAAATCATATTTCAGATTCCTTTTTACATTTTTTTATTTACACTTATGTACATAAATAAATAAAAATTAAACGTAGGTTTTGGAGATAAAAGAAATGCTGAATAAATTACCTATATATTTGGTGCACTTTAATTTTTTTTTTAAGAAAGTGTATTACTTATAAAGGGCGTTCCAAAAGTAACACATGATTTAAATTGTGCGCCATTTTGATTCCGAAGAGTTGGCCGAGTGAAGATTGTGAAAATTCGTTATAACTTATAAGTATGGAGAGAATGTAGCTGAGAATGTGCCGCAAATTACGTGGAAACTTCGGTAGGTTCGGTTTCATATGAAATCCTGCGTTTATTTTGGGACACCCTTTATAAACAATGGTGTTGGATAATTAAATTTGGCGTAAACCTTTGAAATTTTATATTTAGAAGTAAGTGATATAAAAAACTTTTTTATGTGAAAATGTAGTTCTTATTTTTTATATGCATATTTAAAAGTAGGTTTAAATATTAAAAAGGAAAATTTAAAATAACTGTAGAAATAAAGAACAAAGTGTGTCTTTATGTAGGTATGCAATAAAAAATATAATTATGATTTATTAAAAAATTTGAATCCGATAGAAAATTATGAAATTCAGATAGGTTACTGAGAAAGTATATGAGTGATCCATATTTTTCAAAAGAAAAGTAAAGAATACTCCTTCCATATGAATCTAATGCAAAAATGTTTTTAGAAAAGGCAAGCAGTTATCAATATTTAAATCTACAGAATTGCCTAATTATTTCAAAATGGAAGAAACTGGTTTCAATTACATCTAATCGTATCCCACCGGGAACTGCTTCGATTGATGTCTAGGAAAGTACTGCTATTTGGCAACATGGCAATGTCCTTGGGGCGAACACAATTAAAATATCTAGATCTCTCCAGCACTTCCGGTTATACCGAAAGGCGACTACAACTTCGTTATTTTAAAGGGACAGCCTATATATTAATGGATTTTCGAATTCTACGTGAAATTTGAGGGCCACTTTATTAAATATTCCCTATACCTAGGAGTTATAGATTTTGAGATATTAATTTTTAAAGAAAAAATTTGACCGATGCAAGGGTCCGCGGAGATGCTAGTAACTCTTTTCAGGAGCATGGTATCAAGCGGATTTTTGGTACCTGTGAAGGGCATAGGTAACGCTAAATTATGGTATACCAACAAATTAAACCATTTAATACTTCAAAGAGCTATAACTTTGTAAACTGAAATGGAACACCCTGTATTTGTTTACTCAGTCGTATGCAGAATGAAATTTCCTTTCAAGCCATATAATCATTGATAGGGTTGCCAGCACTAGTTTTAGAGATATTTGCAATTTTCTATATTTTGGACAGTTTTTCTCGTATCAGACCTGTTGTCAAATTGGCCATGACCAGAAATACTCCAAAAACAATTGAAATAACATGACATTTGTCAAGTTAGTTGTCAAATTATTGTTGTGTCTGAATAGTTTTTGCCGAAAATTGAAATAAAAATGCCTGGGGATCGTTTAAATTATACTAATGAGGATTATTTTAATTTGTTTGTTATTTATGGAAAATGTGACAAAGTAATTTCAAGAATATGTAGAGAATCTGCTGCTTTTTCGGAACAGTACTTTCCTAGATATCGATCGACGAAGTTCTCGCTGGGACACCCTGTATAGTAACTGATAAGCTGGTTTAAATGAATTCTATATTAATATTTTATTTTCTTATTAATCTTTTATTAATTTATTTACTAATCAATAATTGTACAAGTTAAACTTAATTTCTTCAGTATAGCGATTTCAAAAAACAATTTGGAGAATAAAACAAAATGTGTGTATGGGTCGACCACAAAATTTATTAATGTTAAATTATATCTTCAATTTATTCCACCATCTGAATTTTCATTAATAGATATAATTAATTTTTAAAGTACGGTACGTTATTATTGTTATCGAGTTGAAAAGTTGTAAACTTGTACAAGAAAAAGTCAATTTATTGCGAAACAAATATTTTCGATTCAAAGAAAATATGAGCCAACACTAGGTATTTATGCAAAAATTAAACTGAATCCACATAATCTAATTTCAACAGTTTCTACATTAGAGATATTATTTTTAAATTGATTTGGAATTAGTTGTATTGAAATACCCGCAGTGATTGTGCCAACAACTCGTTGGATAACATCCAATTTTTACAACTTATGAATCAAATGCAGAAACGTCTGTTTCTGCACTGGATCAAATGTTTATCTATTACAAAACACTAGCTGAAAGCTTGGAGGTAAGACGTCGTCTTTTTTATCTCTTGAAAGTGCCGAGATAGGCGTCACAGTTGGGACAGGTGTGGGACACATCCATGCACTTTTCTATGCAGCAGGGTATTAGGCAGCAGCCCCAAAAGCACCTGAAACAGAAAAAAAATAAATTACAATACTGAAGACGAGACAAACTGTTCATCGTTGACTAAAGTAAACAAAAAAGATAGTAATTAAGTAACATTTTGTTATAAAACTGTCTCTATAGGCTTTATAAGCCTTTGATACTGCTATTTTCTTCATTGTAAGTGTTCATTTGAACGCTTACGCTAGGATGCGCAGTGGCAAAATAGTGGAGTGGGGAACGAAGTCCATTTCATCTGAATTGCTATTCCATTGTATATCAAGTAAATTCCCTTTTTTATTTGAGAATTTCAAAGCTCAATGGAAATTTGTTCAGTTGTACACTACAGGATGAGTCAACGATTGGTTAAAGTAGATTTACTCCGAATTGCTAAAGTATATCAAAAAACTATTCCTACAGGGTGATAAGTACGCTAACAGGGCAGATTTTAAAAATATTTTAAAATATACAGGGTGCTCCAAAAACTTGTGACAAACCAAACTTACATTTTTTTAAATGGAACACCCTGTATTTTACAACATTTTTAGATTCTACGTTTAATTTGAAACATTTTGATATAAAATTTCCTATATCTAAATTTAATAATTGGAACTAAATAAAAATTATTGCATTTTTGTACCTGTATTTAACAGTAGCTATCCTCGTTCTTTTTAAGAATTAAAACAATATTTTTGGTACCGTGTTACTGTAAAGATGGCTTGAGAACGTCATGGATTCAAATTTTGATCAGCGCCTACAGGGTGTTCGTAAAATAATGACAGATTTGAAGAAGTTTAAACTAAAAAATCTTAATTTTTTTTAAATTTTAAAATATTTTTAAAATGTGCCCTGTTAGCGTATTTATCACCCTGTAGAAATAGTTTTTTGATAAACTTTAGCAATTCGGAGAAAATCTATTTTAACCAATCGTTGACTCACCCTGTACATGTACAGGATGGATCATTAGTGTGAAAAAGTAAAATAACTCCTTTGCTACTCATAATACAGAAAAAAAGTTTATATAAAAGTTGTACAGAATCAAGAAACATAAACAACAAACTTAATTTGAAATATATAGGGCGATGAGTAAAAACGGGACACACCAAATATTACATTTTTTAAATGGATTTATAATATTTTTAAACATATGGATTTCCGAGAAAATTCTATACAAGGCAATATAAACAGTTTATCATTTTGGTGCGGGGTTGCCAAGTTATGTAGAAAATTCTTCGAATTTTGGAAAAAACATGACCTCGAAGAAGTTGTATTAACTTTCAACTACTAACACTTGGAGCAAAAATATTTGACGGAGTTATTAGCTAATATCGATATTTTATACAGGGCATTTTTTATAATACGAACATTTTTAGAAAGTTCAAACTTGATTTTCTAAAATTTCAATTTCAAATGGAACACCCTGTATTTTATTGTTCTATTTTATTCACATATCAGTCCACTTCAACTTTCATTAAGTATGTTCACACCTAAAGTTGTTAGTTTTTAAGATATAGCAACATTTTTGGAAAAACCTAATTTTTATTATTTTCTGTCGCACGAAATGGCTTTGGAAAAAACTGTCACATTGTGTCAACTTGTCAGTTCATAATTTATCATTCCATTTTGAGTTAATTTTATTATTTAATATTTAATTGTGGTATTTTATAAAATAATAAAAAATATTTTTTTTTCAGAAATGTAGCTATATCTTAAAAACTAATAATTTTAAACATAGAACGTGCTTAATAAAAGTTGAAGTGGACCGATATGTGAATAAAATAGAACAATAAAATACAGGGTGTTCCATTTGAAAAATTTTAGAAAATCAAGTTTAACTTTCTAAAAATTATCGAATTATTTAAAAATGCCCTGTATAAAATATCGATATTAACTAATATAGGAATTTTTGCCTAACATTTGTCTATAACTCTGTCAAATATTTTTGCTCCAAGTGTTAGTAGTTAACTCAACTTTTTCGAGGTCATGTTTTTTCCAAAATTCCAAGAATTTTCTACATAACTTGGTAACCCCGCACTATATTGCCATATATAGAATTTTCTCAGAAATCCATGTTTAAAAATATATAGGGTGTTCCATTTAAAAAATGTAGTATTTGGCGTGTCCCGTTTTTACTAATCGCCCTGTATGTTTCAAATTAATTTTGTCCTTTAGATTTTTTATTCTGTACAACTTTTATATAAACTTTTTTTCTGTATTATGAATAGCAAGGGAGTTATTTTACTTTCTCGCACTAATGGCCCACCCTGTATGTAGATACTTTGTTTGAATAATGGCCCACCCTGTATGTAGATACTTCGTTTGAATAATAACTACCAAGGCGTGTTGGTATTATAAGGATTTTGAGGGATCGCAACTGGAAAGGAAAAAGAATCTTTATTTGCATTTACGAGTAAAATATTGTGTGTAAGATTTTTTTCATGGAAAGTTCAAGTAACGAGTAAGTCCCAAAATCATGACAATATAAGAGGATCCTAAACAGTACACCATAGACAAAAACCAATTACATATTTACTTCTAATTTTTAAACAAATTAGTTTTCATTTAAATAAAGACAAACTGATGCAGTATTTTTGCAATACCTACAACTTTGCTGTTATGTCATTTAGACTCTTGTGGTTTTAATTTATGGTTAATTCTATGACAGATACATATTTGGATTATTAGAATCTGCGCAAAACGATCCTCTTCTTTTTTAACGAGTAAAACCCTTCAACCACAACCTAATTTCGATGGCATTGGTAAAATCTTGGAAATGATTTATGAGAAACGAGCCGCCACTCCTACTACTAAGCACAAAATAAAGTCCAATGAGAACAACCAACGTGATGATTTGGCACACTTCTCTCAAACTAAAGTATGAGCAATGCTAGCTAACAATAGAACTTTACTATCTACACACTACGGTGTTATTTTGAACTTGTCTATAATGATTTCATTAACTTTTATTTTAGGAGCAACGTAAACATTGTGATTTTACTTAGCGCAAGTTGTTTTAGCCAAAAATCGATCGTCTTTTGGTTTCATTCCGGTAGATAAGCAATATATTATTCATTCCAACCACAAGCCATTAAATAGATTGGCATAGTTCGTAAAATTCATAAAACAAACATCCGTTGCACACTGTCGTAGATGATATTTTATTATACAATTCTGATGAACCTTGTTATTTTTAGCAATGAAATATCTTATTTTACTACTACAAGAAGAAACTTAAAGACAGGGAAAACATTTTTATGTCCAAAACTACGCAGATAACACATGTCTAAAGAATTACATATGGGGTGTACCATTTTAAATTGCCACAGTTGTATTCTTAGTAAGAAAATTATCTGTTTTAAATCGATGTTAACCATAATTCCTGTATTATCGGAAAAATTCAGAAGAACAGTTTTTCAGGCTAATACCTTCTTACAGACTTTGTCGTTAAAAAATTACGATTATAGTATACCTTGTAAATGCAATAAACACTATATTGGAGAGACCTCCCGACCTGTAAAAATTAGAATAGACGAGCACAAAATAGCACAAGCAATGAGTACAAATAGCGAATTATTATTGAAGCCGATGCATTAAATCTACTTTACTGTCAACTTAAACACATAATTTTTCACCAATCAATTTTAATTTTATCATAACGGCAAACAAAGCTATTTATTTTATATTATTAAAAATCTATGATACCTCTTTCATGAATAATAATAATTTCATTAGGTCGATTGTGGTTGCTATAAGAAGAGCGTTATTAAGTAAATAACTCAAGTACACAGTAATCGCCATATTGTTTCTATTTAAATCCATAAAAATAACTATTTATTATTTGAGATGGAAGAATTCGCATTAACTCCGCCAAAGATTATTGCATCAGCAAAGCAAATAGAGTGTAACTTATTGCAAGAAAAATCGAAGATGTATCAGCAAACATAATAAGAATGTATTGATTACCGAGCTGAGAATAACATTACATATGTCTTTTCCAAAAAATGTACTATTGGTATATTTTTCTGAAGTAAGCAAAAGTATGAAATCTTCATAATGGTTAGGTAATATAATGCGATGCTAAAGCATTCTTGAAACGTCAGTCGGATGGACAACATGCTAAAAAATCGCGCGTTTTAGGAAATGAACAAATTAAAAAATTTCTGATAATGCCCATTTAGGTACAAAGGTAGTTATAAACTAAATATTTTTGTAATTGAAGAATACTGACTATTAATATTTTAGGGGGCAATGATTTTTGTCTTATCTGGGGCGTGTCGATGTGCTGAATTACTTCAGATAAAAATTGGAGATATAGAAGATATGGGAAATAGATTGCTGATCACTCTGCCAACTACAAAAACAAAGAAAAAAAGTTCCTTTATTGTAAGCGAATATTTAAACATATCAGAAATATAGTACCACAAAACCTACATAAATAGATAGTAGGTAACAGATTTTTTTTTAAAATATTCAAGTGGTAAAGCATATAACCAATTAACAGAAATTTATACACTTGGGAAAATGCCAAAACAAGTTGCTGCATTTCTCAAATTGAAGGATTCTCACGAATATACCGGACATTGTTTCCGTAGAACTTCAGCTACACTAACTATTATAGACCAGGAAAAAGAGCTGGGAAATAACCATTTCGCTACTTTTTGTTTCGGCAAGCTGAATTTATCATTATACATATATGCTAAATATTATGTACAATAGCATTTCCACAATCATAAAAATAGGGGGGAGATTGTTTACAGGTTGCTTAATTGTATAACTTTTACGTAAATTCAAGTTTTTCGCTTATACCTTTTTTCCGTTCATTTCCACGAGAAAACAGTAAAGCATCAATGAATATTGATTAGATCAAAAGTTATAAGTAGAAGAATTTTATTTATGACTTTTGAATTAAACATTTATAAACTGCGTTAATATTACCAGAACGTTTTAGCATCGCATCCGCTCATTCCCTATCACTGTCTTATTAGAGTGAGTTATTACTCACACGAAATCTGGAATCGGTAAGTT